TTGCCGGCCCACCATCAAATAGTTGGCAATTCTCGCGGAATTTGAAGCTCTAGAACTCCAATTATCAGCTTAATCCGCGCGCTCGCCACCCCCAACTCGACTAATCCCATTTATTGGCGAAAAAAAAATGGAATTGAAAACGAGATGCGGATTAATATGCATTCTTTCCGCGATGAAATTGATTCAAAGTGTGATTCATCATTTCGAGTGATCGCTTCTACGAACACATGTCTAGGGAGGAGGGGGGGGGTGTGCAATTTAAAATTACACGCATTATGCATAATGTGGGGTCCTGGCCCCCCTCTCCCCAATCGTCTAGCTATAGCCGCGTCGAGGGGGTCCCACGCCATAGTAGTCGTAGTGGCTGCTGCAGCAATAGTAGTTGTAGTATAGAAGCTTCTTCTTCTTCTTCTTCTTCTTGTTCCGAGAGACAAGCGAGTTTTTGGCCGTCTGCACTCTCGCTGCTCGTTATACGATGATGGGCCCGCCGCCGCCGCCGGGCCGGTCAGCTGGTCAGTTGGTCAGTCAAACGACGAGGCGCAAGAAGATGAAGAAAAACGGAGAGGCTTGGTGTTCGTTTCGTCGCTTTCGCTTTCGGTTTTCGCTTCTCCCAACGACACGCGCGCTCGCGCTCGCGCGCGTTTCAATTCCGATTCGGACGCGCCACGATCCTTATATGAGAATGGAGAGTGCGCTTGTCTCTGTGTGTGACTGACCTCGAAATTTTGGAATTTTGTAGTTGGCCTGTTTATGAAGGGCTAACTATGTCGATTCCTTGTTTCTTTAAAAATTTCTGTGCTCCTACGCCTTTGATTACTGTATCATTTCTGCTATTCGAAACGTTTCATTTATTTGAAGATCTCTTGCAAAAACTATTGTGCGCGCCTTTAAATTCACATTTTCTCCTCTAGAAAATAAAGACTTATCCATTTCGCCGAAAATAATACTAGTTTTATCGCCATTTTTTCCAAAATCTGTTTAGTACCATTAAAAAAAAGAAGAGAAAATGCTCATTTAAACTAGGATTTTTTAATTGCCAAAAACCAAATCCTTTTTTTCTTTCCGGATTCCCATAAACGGTTGATATGATTTTTTTGGCCACCCTCACCGGAAATTTTGCGAAATCGGGTCCCTCGTGTTGGCTGAAAAAAGCGATAATCGAAATAGAATGGAATTTCGAAACTCACACCACTCTCCCGCCCCCGGTCACCTCGCATGGTACCATTCGATACCATGGTCATAAACCTTGGATCTTCGAGATTTCGAAATGTTCGCGCGGGTTGGGGACGCGCGCATCGGGCAGCACCGATTGGTGTGCTGCAAAACGGCCTTTATTGACCTTTTGGTTGGCGTACCTCTACCTACCTACCTGACTGACTGACTGACTGACTAGCTGGCCTCCCGTTCCCCGGCCATCCGGCACCCGGCAGCCTGTATTTCCGAATGTACGTGTCTCGTTGATCAGCCTCGACACCTATCGACTCGCAACGCTATCTCTCCCGCTCGCTCTCGTTCTCGTCGCCTCGTCGGTGTCGCTCTCGAATTGTTCGCCTTGTACGTTGATTGTACGGTGGTACCGGTGTCGTCGTCGATCCCGAGACACCAGCGTGAAGGAGGTGCGCAAAGTGAGAGATTGCGTTTTGTGGAGTGTGATCAGCACCTCGAAATTTGTTTCATTCTCACCTCGTATCGATTTCCAATTCCCTATAATTATTGATTGATCATGGAATTTTTGATTGTCGCTTATTCACTCACCTTTGCTCAATATTCCATTGAATTTGAATCGCCCGAAGAATTGGGGGGCGATTTTCGATAAAAATCGCGAATTCCTTCCTCAAAATTTGGCATTTTCTACATGCGAATACAAAAATTGATGTTTGAAAGTGATAAATAATACGGAAATTTGAGCGATTCGTCGAAAAACGCGAAATTTAGGCCGAACAAAAAAATTGGGAATTGAATATTTGATGGTGCAGTTTGCCGCCGCGGTGTACCGCACACAACACGCGCGCCTACAGTAACCGTGCGATTTAAAATTTGATGTTCCATTAATTTTGCCGTTTAAAATCCAATTTCCTCCCCCCAATATTGACGAATCTTTCCATGAAATTTCATTTTTTTCACAAAAATTGTAAAAATTACATTCTATTTGCACTTTTTTTTACAACCCGGCATTGGAAAAAATGTGCAATGTTTTTTTTTTAAACATTTTAATATGTTCATTATTGTCGTTGTTTTAATTTTTCGAATGTTCGCCGCCTGAAAATTGCTCGAGTCGCGATTTCTTTTCTTTTTTTTGTGTGTGTGTGTGTGTGCTCGCGCATCTTAGTCACCGCAAAGTGCATATGAACTTGATGGTCCCCCGTTTTTGGTCTCGCCTCATCATCGTTTCATTCGTCGCTTTTGTGCAATTTAATCCGCCGTAGTTTTTTTTTGTTTTCTTGCAGCAGTCTCGTCGGATTCGGACAATCGTACCGCGAACAAATTGAACCGATTGTTGATTTCGAAATCCGATTATAATTTGCAAAAGCTCGTCGTTGGGCTGGATAAAAAAATTGACGAGATTGTGCAATTTTCGTTAGCCAGCTTTAAAAAAGCGGGCTTTTCCGACGCTAAGATCTCCAATCTTTTGGGTAAGTGCAACAATCGAGAAATTGATCGAATTTTTTTTTGGTTTTTTTGGCCGCCTCCTTTGATTGCTTTCGTCTTGTTTAAATTCTCATTTCAGAGGCGGGTTCACATTCCTTCCTGGGTTACAGCCCGCCACACCTACGCCATCACCAACGCAATCATCGTCAGCCGAAAGTTGGTGAGTGTTTTCGTCTATTGCTTTCTTGTTTTCTTGAAAAAAAATATGAAATTTGAACTACCGTAGTTTCAAGGCGCATATCACATTTTTCTTTCCTTCGAAACTTTTTGATTCTCGTGACGAATTGCCAATTTTTCGAATATCCATTGATGCTATAGTAGTTTAAAGGTGCATCGCATTTTTTTTGCGCGAAATTTCAAATTCGAAATTTTTTTGTCGCGGGTCTTGCGACGAAATTACAATTTTTCGAATTTCAACAAAATTCAAAACAATTTAAAATCGGCATGTTTGAAATCACAATTTTGTTTTCTCGACGGCAATTTAAAGGAGCATAGTCGGCGTCTCGGCGAGCGGGTTCCATTTTTTTTTTGTTTTCTGCTCTCCCCAAAAAATTTAGTTACGAAACAAGGTGTCTTCTCAAAAAAAATTGTCAGATACCGTAATTTAAAGGAGCGCAATGTCCTTTCTTTTTATTTGTTTTGTTTGAAAGCATATTTCGAGTTGTTTTTAGTTATTGCTGGTTTTGAACTTTGCGAACCGATGAACTTGTCGGTTTTGCACTCGGACCCTCCCGTATTATCCTCAAAGTGCACACGACGGGGACGGCCGACGTCGAAAAATTTGATTAAAATGCGTGGTTGTGTTTTTTTTTTCGATCCATCTTGTGGCCACACAATGGCCAGCGTTCAAATTTGCTATTTTTTTTTCCATTGTTTCCGATTGAGAACACCGCGCGTGAATTTGCGTTTGAAATTTAAATAAAAAATTAGGTGTCTGCAAGAATGCGGTGTCCACATGAGAATTGTGACGTCATCGAGGGCTTCTCGAATCAACGTCAGACGAATTGTGCCTTTTTTTTTTGATTGATTTGCGTCAGATTGAGGTGCGATAATTAGGTTTCTCACACCAATAAAAGTGACTCATAAATATGGTGTTTCTTTTTTTTTATTCTTTCTATGTGCGTTTGGCCTCAACGAACTCGAACCGCCGATTTCGATGCTCTCTCGAAAGTGCATGCACACGTGGTGTGACGAATGTACGAGAAGTGCAAAATGGGAGAGGGGGGGGGCAGAGAACGCGCAGCCAACGGCGTGGTCTCGAGGCGAATGATGGTAGGGCGGAGCTTGTGGTGTGGGTTTGCGCGGGCGCGCGAGAGATGAGGCGCCGCCTGGCATTCAAGGTTACTTACTAGTGGCCCCAACACACACACACACACACCCATTCGTTCGTCCCGGTTCGTCCCTGGTCCCTCTCTATTGGCCGAGGCGCCATCAACCATCATCACTTATTCGTTGATTGCTAGTCGAATTCAAGAAGTGCTCATTTATTACTAGCTTTTTTTTTCTTTTGAAAAAGAGAAAACCACAAAAAAAAATGCGAGATATTTTATATGGTAAGGTTTTTGCCAATTTTTGAACAAGGATAAAATGCGTTTCTTTTTTTTTCGTTTGGTTGAGAATTATTGGTATTTGATTTTGCCATATTCTCTTTTTTTTTGGAGATTGGCTGGCTTGCGATAATCTCGACAAAATTCCGCATTCCTCGTTGTTTCGACAAAAATTTGCCGAAAAAAAGAGAGAGAGAGAGAGAGTGGCGAGGCGACGAGACAGAGATCGCCGTGTGTTGGTGGGTGCAATTGCGCACCATTGGTCGGTTGTGGCCCGCACACCATCACCATCACCACCAAATACGGCGACCTTGTGTGCACCACACTCGACGCTCATTGGCGTCATTTTTGTGCACCATTCGCCCACCACCATCGTTTTTTTTTTCTTTTTACGACATCAACAAATTTTTTGTATTCTAGGCGACATGGCGCTGGTGTCGCATACGCACCCGGCCGCCGTCGGCTCGACGGCGTGCTATGAGAAGAACACGCAGAAGCAGCAGCAGCAACAGCAGCAACAACAACAACAGCAGCAGTACACGACGCCGTCGCCGGTGAGCATTATTATTATTATTATTATTTATTTTTGAATTCTCTTCGCCGAATGTTGCGAGAGACGCAGACGGCGAGGCGAATGGTGGCGTGAGATCACCTGAGGCGATCAGATAGGTTTTGACCAACGTCTGACCGGCTTCAATCTTTGTGTGAATCGATTTTTGTTGGGCGCCACGTGACGAAGTTTCAACCCTTTCCCACTAGCACGTGGTCGCTCAAATTTTTTCTCTATTCTTTCCTGACATCGAAATGATACTTATCGCCATATTCGAATCGATTATTGAATATTTGCGAAGAATTGATTGGGTTTGTTTGGAGCATTTTTTTTAGAATTAAAATTCTACTAAAAGAAAAATTGAAATGAGAATTTGCTGATTGCAGGTCGCGCATGCGTCGTCGAACGCGATTCTCGCCGCCGCCCAGCCGTTCTATCAGCCGCCCGTGCAGGACACGCAGCCCGATAGGCCGATTGGATATGGGGCGTTTGGAGTTGTGTGGTAGGCGATTCGTTTTTTTTTTTGAGGAAGCCTAATTGCATTTGTTGCTGTTGTAGGTCGGTGACCGATCCGCGAAGTGGCAAGCGTGTGGCGTTGAAGAAGATGCCGAACGTGTTCCAGAATTTGGCGTCGTGTAAACGCGTGTTTCGCGAAATCAAAATGCTGTCATCGTTTCGGCACGACAATGTTTTGTCGCTTCTCGACATTCTCCAACCCGCCAATCCGCACTTTTTCCAAGAATTGTGAGTGAATTTAAATTTTTGGTCCAAAAATTGAAAGAAAAAAGAATGCACATTGAGCTCATGGAAAACAAGTTGAGAAAATTGGCAATTTTTAAAAGTTTGAAAGTTTCACGGAAAAATGCTCATTTTTCTCGGTTGAAAAATCGAAAATTTTGATTCAATCGCACTATTTTTTGTTGAAAAATTGAAAATTTCGATGAAAATGCCAAAAATCGACATTTTTAAGTTCATCGCATCTTGTTTTTTGTTGAAAAGAATGCAAAATTTCGCTCTGCGTCCAAAAATTATCAAATTTGTTTCCAAAAAAAAAATGAAAATTTTCAATTTTAAAAAATTCCAAATCATTTTTTTCACCAAGAAAAAAAAATTTGAGATTGCATTTCTTTTTTTCGCCCCGCGCCCACTCGACGCCGCGATCAGTTCATATTCGTCCGCCCGACGAGAGTCTTGTTTTAGTAGGCCGTAGAGCAATTGGTCGTGTCGGTCCGTCGATCAGCTGAGAGTGAAGGAGAGCAAAAAACAGTTGGGGGGTAGGGGGAGAGAGGGTCGGACACGCAGAGACAACTAACTATCAGTAGTTGTAGTGGTGGTGCCAAGCACGCACACAGTGTGTGTGTGTGTGTGTGACCTTAGGGTGCATGGTGTGATTGGTGTGTGGTGTGGCTGGCGGGTGGCAGACACCCGTTGGTACGTGCCAGCACCACCCGGTGCGCGCGCGCGCAAGCGAGTTGTTTTTCTCATCCCGGCCGTTCCCGTACACACAGACAGACAGACAGGCAGACAAACTCGCACTATCGAGTAGTAGTGGTAGCTAGTTGATTGTGACCCCCCCCCTCCCAGTGTGGGACCATTGAAACTGCGAGAGGGGATTTTGAAAAATGAAAATATCATTTTTTTCAGATATGTGCTCACGGAGCTGATGCAAAGCGATCTGCACAAGATCATTGTATCGCCGCAGCCGTTGACGATTGATCACGTCAAAGTGTTTGTGTATCAGATTCTTCGAGGTGAGCCTTTCTTCCGAGAAATTCCAGAATTCCAGAGAAATTCCAGGTCTGAAATACTTGCACACGGCCAACATTCTCCATCGCGACATCAAACCCGGCAATTTGTTGGTGAACAGCAATTGCATTCTGAAAATCTGCGATTTCGGTTTGGCGCGCACGTGGGACAGCCGCGAGCGGCAGAACATGACGCACGAGGTCGTCACGCAGTACTATCGGGCGCCCGAGCTGCTGATGGGCGCACGACGGTACACGGGCGCCGTCGACATCTGGTCGGTCGGATGCATATTCGCCGAGTTGCTTCAACGCAAAATTCTGTTCCAAGCGGCGGGACCCATCGAGCAGCTGCAGATGATCATTGATTTGTTCGGCACGCCGACGCCGGAGGCGATGAAGTACGCGTGCGAAGGCGCGCGCAATCACGTCATGCGAAGCGGACCGAGGCCGTCGAACGCGCAATCGTGAGTCGCTTCTTCTTTTAATTTTTTTTTTTTGGCGACTGAAAATTGAATTTTTTTTTGCTGAAAGTGTCGATTTTTTTGGATTTTTGAGCGAAAATTTTGAAATTTTTCAAAGATTTTTATATTTTTGAGCCAAAATTTTGAAATTTTCAAACATTTTTGGATTTTTGAGCCAAATTTTGAAATTTTCAAACATTTTTAGATTTTTGATCCAAAATTTTGAAATTTTCAAAGATTTTTGGATTTTTGAGCCAAAATTTTGAAATTTTCAAAGATTTTTGGATTTTTGATCCAAAATTTTTTTTTGCTGAAATTGCCGATTTTTGGATTTTTAAAAGCGAAAATTGTGAAAATTAAAAGTTTTGAAAGAAATTTGAAATTTTTTTTCTGAAATTGTCAATTCTTGAAAATTTCGAGTGGAAATTGTGAAATTTGTGAAAGATTTAAAGATTTTTGGATTTTTCGAATTTTTCTCAAAAAATTGTGATGAAATTGAAAAGAAAGAATTGTTTTTTGAGATCAAATTGAAGCGAAAATTAAAATTTTGTTGATGAAAATCTCAATTATTGGATTTTCAAGTAAAATTTGGCTCGATTTGAATTGGAATTAATCATTTCTAATCATTTTTGAGATTGATTTTCTAAAATTGGCATTTTTTTGGTGATTTTCCCGGAAATTTGCGAATTTTTGAGATTTTTTGTGAAAAATTGCGATGATTTGAAATGAAATTGAAGATTTTCGAGTCGAAATTGGAATTTTTTGGATTTTTGTGTTGAAAATTTGAAAAAAATGAAATTTTGAGGCAATAAAAACTTGAAATTTTTAAGATTATATCGACTTTCGCCGCAAACGACCGACGAAGCGGTGGATTTGCTCGTGAAACTGCTGCAATTCGATCCGGACAAACGCGCGACGGTTCAGGAGGCGCTCAAACACCCATATTTGGAAGAGGGCCGCTTGCGATTCCATTCGTGCATGTGCACGTGCTGCTACACGAAGCCCAACTGCCCGTCGCGTCTGTTCGCCCAGGATCTCGATCCATGCGTATGTGTTTCTCTCTTTTTTTTGTGCTCTTTTGAGATTTGAAACTGATTTCAAGCGATTTTTTCAGCACGAGACGCCGTTCGATCCGAAATGGGAGAAGGAGGTGGCGAGATTGTCGATGTTCGAGCTGCGCGACAAAATGTACCAATTTGTGATGGACCGCGCGCCGTTGTTCGGCATCGCGTTGTGCATCAATCCGCAATCGGCGGCCTACAAGAATTTTGCGAGGTACCCATTGTTTCTTTTTTTTTTTAAATTTTAAATTTGGAGCCAAAAAAAATTTTTTTGTTGGGAATTTTGAGAAAATTTGAATTTGGCGCCGAAAAAGAAATTTTTTGTTGGAAATTTGAGAAAATTTGAATTTGCCGCCCGAAAAAGAAATTTTTTGTTGGGAATTTTGAGAAAATTTGAATTTGGCGCCGAAAAAGAAATTTTTTGGTGTTGGATTTTGAAGAAAAGCGGATTTTTTTGTGGATTTTACCTTCCGTAAAAAATAAAAAAAAAATTTGAATTTGCCGCCAAAAAAAGTTGTTGGAATTTTGAAAACAAAATATTGAAAAAATTTTTTTTCTTTTATTTAAAAAAAAAATAAAATAACTCAAAAATTGCTTCCAAAAAAAAATTGAAAAATCCTAAAAATAATTATTTTCGACGAGAAAATCTTTAAAAGAGCACCCCAATTCGATGGCGAGTTGCTCATTTTTTGGTACGCAATTGATGGGATCGGTGTTTGCACAAATTGACGCCAACGAAAAACGAAATATGCAGAATTTTTAATAGAAAAACGCAATTTTCAGCTCATCCGTCGCTCAGGCCTCCGAATTGCCGCCATCGCCAAACGCTTGGTGAGAGAGGAGTGTCCAACACCAAAAAAAAATCGGACCCCCCCCTCTTTGATGTTCATAGATGTATGAAGTCTTTCGATTTTTCCACCAAGAGAAATTCTCACGATTTTGAAAAAAAAAACTACTCGCTAAGAGCTTTTCATGTGATTTTTGAGCCCCCCAATTCATCAAATTTAATCATTTTTTTTTTGTATTTTTTTTCCCACCAATGGCGCTACAATCGAAATGTGATGATCACTTACTTATTGAAAAAAAAAATGAATCGCGCGGATTTTGAATCAAAATTTTGCGTATATAAGAATTACTACCCGAAATGGTCTTTCCATCTATATTATATATATATATTTTATTATAATTATTAAAATTCAAAAGTGCCCAATGGGATCTAAATGTGCTTTCTCGTGTCGTTCAAACTGAGCCCGTATGTCTTTCATTGAAGAAACTCTGAGAAATTATTGTCAAAGTCTCTTTTTTTCCATTATTTTGTTATTTTTTGCGTTTTTGTGCCAAGCAATTTTGAATTTTGGTCCCCCCAACCCCCAAAAAATGATACGCCGAGTTCTTTCAATGGTTTTTTTTTGCTAATCGAAATTGTGTGTATTTTTTTTCCCAATTCTTGTGCTCATTTTCATGTTTTTTTTTGCCCTTTTTTTCGGGTTACTGTATGGCAGTAACTATGTGAAAAAATGTTTAGAAATTGACTAGAAGTTGACCCCTTTTTTTGAAAAAAAATTTTGATTTTTTTTTTGACTGACATAATACTGTAATTTTTTGATCATTTGGCGCGCAAAGTATGTTTTTATTTCATTTTTTAAAATTTCATGTATTAATTTTATTTTTTTTCTATATTGATTATTAATAAAAAGTTTTCACTTATATGAATTTGTGAAAAAAAAATGGAATTTTTATTTTTTGATTAATATTTTTTTATTGGCTTCTCTTTTTTTTTCCAAATAATATTATATTTAGCTGAATTCACCATGAGAATCTGCGAGAAAATGAGGAATATGCGATAATTGGCCAATTAGGAGGTAATTAATTTAAAAAAAAGAGACGAAACGAAAAAGTCGAAATGGAATTGAATAATTCAGCGAAATTCGATTGTTTTTTTTTTCGAACAAAAGACGGCAAAAAAATTTTTGGAAATTTTTTGAAGCGAAACGAATAGAATCGTTTTTATTCCGAAAAAAACTCGTTCATGTGGAAAAAAATTTGAAAAAAAAAGTTTTTTGGTCGAAAATTGTGATTTTTGGTGAAAAAATCGACATGTTTTTGCTCATTTTTGCACCAAAATCGCCAATTTTTTGATTATTTTCAAAAAATGCACAAATTCGATTCGGAAACATTCCGTTTTTTGCTCATATTCGCACAAAAATTGCGAGTTTTTGATTTTGCCGAGAAAAATTTTCGAATTTTGTTTGAAAAAATTGATTTTTTGCTTATTTTTTACCCAAAAATGGTCGATTTTCGTCAAATTTTCGTTTTTTTTTTCGAATTTTCCAAAAACAAAGATGAATTTTGTTTGAAAAAATCAATTTTTGCTCATTTTTGCACAAAAATCGTCAATTTTTGTTGAAAATGACAATTTTTTGCGAAATTTCCAAAAAAATTGACAAATTCGATTCGAAAAAATCCCGATTTTTGCTCATTTTCGCACAAAAATTGCGAGTTTTTGATTATGCCGAAAATTTTTTGAATTTTCCAAAAAAAAAAATCCTTGATTTGCTCCTTTTTTACCCAAAAATGGTAGATTTTTTGACGAAAATTGCGATTTTTTCACATTTTCGCGAAAATCCGCGATTTTGCGTCAATTTTGATGTGAAAAAAAAAAACTTTTTTGAGTTCAAAAATCGCAAAACTTTAATATTTTTCCAAAATCCGCAATTTCGCGTCAATTTCGATGCACAATTTCAATATTTTTCCAAAATACGCAATTTCGCGTAAATTTCGATGCAAAATTTCACTATTTTTCCAAAATTCGCAGTTTCGCGACAATTTAGATGCAAAATTTCAATATTTTTCCAAAATCCGCAACTCCGCGTCAATTTCGATGCAAAATTTCAATATTTTTCCAAAATCCGCAATTTCGCGTCAATTTCGATGCAAAATTTCAATATTTTTCCAAAATCCGCAATTTCGCGTCAATTTCGATGCAATCGGCGCAAAAATTTCAAAAATTCCGAATCCGATTTCAATGATATCGCTTCTCGCTGCCCTTGTGTGTGTGTGACGTAATCAAAGGCTCGCGTCGTCTGACTTGCTTGCTTACGCGACGACGACGACGACGGCGAGCTGGAGCAGCTCGTGCTCTCGACAAGCCACGCCCACAAACATGCCGCCATGCGCGACATGATAATACGCGAAAAGGGGAGAGAGAGAGAGCACACGAAATCGAGAGAGAGGCGAGACGACGAGACGAAATTGTGTTGGTGCTCGGCGACGACACGCTTATTTATTCAGCTTCTTCTTCTTCTTCGTCGTCGTCGTCTTCATCATCAACATCATCATCTTCAAATCGACGGACGTCTTCTTGAAATATTCGATTGGAAATGAGCAAAACGCGATTCGAAAAAATCGACGACGACGCCGAGTTCGAGCAGCGACGTCACGTCGGCGAGTACGAGCTCACCGATTTGGAGATTCAGCAACTCAAAGTGAGTCGTCAATTTGTTTTTTTTTGGCCTCGAAATTTGAAATGTACACCGCGACGCACAATTGCACACATTTTTGAAATGTTAAAAATATGGCCCCAATTTTAGAAGGGGTCTTCAACTAGAAATTCCATGAGTGTGTGTGTACACCGCGACGCACAATTGCACACAAATTCGGGCAGCATTATCTTTCTTTTTTTTTTAAGAATTTTTTTGGCTTTTTCAAGTCTGACAAAAAATGTACACCGCGACGCACAATTGCACACAATCTCAAAAATATGGGATCTCCCAACGAGTTTTTTTAAACACTGAAATTTCGACGAGTGAGTGTGTGCGAACACCGTGACGCACAATTGCACGCAATTTTCGAAAATTTCGAATTTCGCCAAAATTCCGAACCGCCGATTTTCCGCCTCATTGTTTTTTTGGTTCGTTGAATCGGACGATACGAAATTCGAGAATGTCGCACTGCGTCGCCACCATATCGAAATCTGATCCCCCGCAAAAACCAAAAAAAAATTTGGCCTCCTTTCATTTTTTTTTCTGGTGGTGGAAAAACGCCAAAAATCACGTTGTTCTCAAATTTCTGTCAATATTTGCGAAAAAATTTTGAATTTTTAAAAATCCTCAAAAAAAAAAAAAGAATTTTTCCATGCGAGACCCAACGTGGCGGCAATTCAAATCCTACAGTAATCACACGCCGCAAAATTTGTGCAAAAAATGTTGAGAGACGAATTTTGCGAGAATTCTGAAAATTTTCCCAAAAAAATTTTTTCGAATTTTCGAAAAATGTTGTCAAAATCGACGAATCAAACATTTTCTTGAATGACTTTCAAAAAAAAAATGCGTCAAAAAAATCGTATTTATTTTTTTCCCGTAGGAGCACAATCAGAAGCGCGTCAAAAAAGTGGTGGGTCTCGTCGCGATCGTCATGACACTCCTCTCGTTGGCTCTCGTCGCATTCTCGTTGGCGTTGGGCCGAAAAATCGACATGATGGGTGAGCATTTTTGATCGATGAATTGAAAAAAAAAAAGAAGACAAAATCACAGAAAAATCGATAATACAATGTTTTTGGTGGCAACTTTCGCAATTTTTTTTTCAACAAAAACAATCACAAAAAATTGAAAAGAAATCAATTTTTTCATCATGAATTCCCTAAAAAAATGCCAAAAAATTGACGCGATTTATTTTCAAAGGCGCACGCGAAAAGTTGTGCGGGTCCCGACGCGAAGGCGATACTGCAATTTTTTAATGGCTGATTTTTTTTGGGAAGTCTGTAAAAATATTTTGTCTCATCAACACTTAAGGTTCATTAGAAGCGTCATCGAGCAATGTCAACCCACAGATCTCAATTTCTCATGGTAATTGGAATCTATTGTCGGCGTCAAACGACTGAAGGGAGACGGGACCTTCCAATCAGCAAAATCAGTTTAGATTTCAATTTTTTCGTTGACTGAGTATTAAATGCGCGTACGCTATAATGCAATGTACGCAGTTTTGCGTACGTCTCGCCGCCCATAGCCAATCTTTTTTGTCGTTTCACTCCGACAATAAATGAAGAAAAATAGGCCTACCGTACCGCTCAAAACTCTATCAACTTTTGGTTTTTCGTACATAATTTTCCTCAAAATGTTTGGACCATCATGAAATTTTAAAACAAACTAAAAAATTGAAACCGATTCTGAAATCAGAATAGTTTTGAGAATTTCAGAATTACAGTCTCTTCAAGTTTTTAGTTTTTTTTTCTCTCTATTCTTTACAAAACCTTTAATTTTTCATATTTTGACGTAATTTACAGATTTTCGGGTTTTCAAACGCGCTAAATTTAACTAGAATACTGGCTGAAGCATTTAAAGTCCACAAACACCTTATAGTGGACCATAATGTTTAGTGAGGGTCTTTTGAACTGACTTCGCGACAATTTCACATTAATTATTCTATTTCGGCTCACTTTAACATGTAAATTTGCCTTTGTCATCTCCAGTTCCTTATTTGAACACCGTAGAAGGCGCGCACTAGCGGCGTACACTGACTAAGATTTGTTTTACCTTTTCTCTTTGCCTCAATTATATAGTTTTTAAGATTTCTAATTAATTTAGATAGTATGAGCATTCGATTTGAATATAAAATGCGACAAACCATATTTTCCTAGCAAGCGTTGTAGTTATAATTTAGTTTACGCGTATTTAATATTCAGTCAACGAAAAAATTGAAATCTAAACTGATTTTGCTGATTGGAAGGTCCCGTCTCCCTTCAGTAGTTTGACGCCGACAATTGATTCCAATTACCATGAGAAATTGAGATCTGTGGGTTGACATTGCTCGATGACGCTTCTAATGAACCTTAAGCGTTGATGAGACAAAATATTTTTACAGACTTCCCCAAAAAAAATAGGCCATTAAAATATTACAGTATCGCCTTCGCGTCGGGACCCCCGGCAATTTTTCGCGTGCGCCTTTGAAAATAAATCGCGGAAACGCCTCATTGTTTTCTTTTTTTGGAATTTTTGAGGGAATTCAAATGAAACAAATTGTTGCAAGCATTAAAAAAGAAATGTCGGCAAAAATGAATTGCAGTGGAAAAATCGGTGGAGCAGCGAATGGAGCACTACAACACCGTGTCGGGCATCAATATCACCGATTCTCGATGACGCAACGAAAAATTCAAGCCGGAAAATCAAATGAAGCGGGAAGGCAACAAAAAGAAAATACACACACATTCAAGCGATTCGTTTTCGTCGAATCATTCATCAACTCATCAACTCATCATCATGCTTTTGTTCGGGTGTTTCCACAAACAAATAAATCCACATTGTTTCTATTTGTTTTGCGCGTTGAGTCGTCGCTCGAGCTCGTCGAGCTCACGCCACCAGCACGTCTGCCAATCGAGGCGCGACAACTCGTCGAGCTCGTCGACGCGCTTTCGACGACGCGCCTCGAGTCGCGAGCACTCGTCGACGGTGAGACGCGCGATCGGCATCTCGAGAAGATAGTTGAACGTGCCGTTCTCAAATGCACAACTCATCAGAAGATCGGGTTGAAGACACAAAAAATACCTGTTGCTCGAAAAATTCGAATTGCCTCAATTGCTCTTCCAAATCGTGTCGGCTCACATTCTGAACTTCGATCTTTCGTTTCGAGACCATATCGACGAATCGAATCTGCAAAAAATGGTCCCTTTGATTGTGAGGGTCCGCATTCTCAGAGTTTCAAAACTCAAGAACCTCAACGGAACCGAGATTGAGAAGAAAATTGTAGGGACCATTATTATTCGACAAATTCAAAGCTACCAAAAAAAGGAAATCAGAGCTTAAAGGTCCCTAGGATTCTGAGATTTCTCAAATCCGATTCAGGAAATTTCAGAGCTCTCAATGAGGACCAAAATATGAGGACCAAACAAGCAAAAACAGGAAAGGTCCTTATGTTAGGGTTTTGAGATTCTTCGAATCAGAAGCTATCATTTTCTAGAAGGACCCTTCAATCTCAATTCCTCATCATAAGCAAAGAAATAAGATGTCCCCCAGGTGTCCGAATCAATCTAGATGGTCCCTAGTCAGCCTCAAATCGAAAAATCGCCAACCTGATTCTCCAAAACGCGCAACTTCTCGCCGCATTCGCTCGCCAATCGTCGCAATCGTTGCTCATAAACGCGTCGGCGGACCATAAAGTGTTCGAGGGCGATTTGCATCGGCGTGTCGAATTCGCGTAGGCGGCCGCCCTCGTCGAACACCACCAGATTCTCGGCCATCGACGATGTCAATTTGAAGGCGTCCAACAATTGCGACGTCGTCGCGTTCGCCAACTTCGACGCCATTCGTCGATCGAGCGACACGCGAAAATGCACGCGCTTCTCCGTGTGATGTTCGGTGAAATCGCTGAGAAAAAAAATAATAAATTAATAATACGCCTTTAAATTTTGATTTAAATGGTCCCTAGATGGAAAAGATGAAGAATCACCCAGAAAAAACAATGAAATTTATAAGGCGCCTTAAATTTTGATTTAAATGGTCCTTGGCTGAAAAAAAAAGAAGAATAGCTCAAAAAATAATAAATTAACAATGCGCCTTTAAATTTTGATTTTAATGGTCCCTAGATGAAAAAAAATGAAGAATCACCCAGAAAAAAAAACAATTAAATCAATAATGCGCCTTTAAAAAACCATAGTCAGCGTTTTGAGATTGTCAAAAATTTGATTAGAATGGTCTCTAGACGATTTTAAAAGGCGCAAAGACCTACGGACCCGTGAAATTGGGCGACGATCCGATTGAGCTTCTCCTTGTATTTGCTCGTCGCGACGCCGATCGGCAACTCGGTGATGTCGACGCGCAAATTCGTCGCGTTCTTGCGCTCGCCGCGCGCCAACCGAACGCGTCCCGTCGTGACGAAGCGATTCGCGCGGTGCGGCGTCGCCTCGATGCGTCCGTCGAACTCGTTGAAGTACGGCGGCGGCGGCGGCGACGCCTCGCAATTTTTGCCCTCGATCAAATTGCGGACCATCGCGATGATGGCCGTCGGACGGCGGCCGACGATGCGCGTCGACCAGCCGGTGCCGATGCCCTCGGCGCCGTTCACGAGAATCATCGGAATGATCGGGCACAGCCTGACAAGATTGATTTTTCTTTTTTTTTTGACATTGAATATCCAATTTTTGATGGAAAAATCGAAAATTTTTCGCGCAAAATTCAATTTTGTTTCATTTTCATCGAAAAATTGCAATTCGCGCATAAAAATTTCCGAAAAATGATAGCAATTTCGAATGCAAAATCAAATTTGCCACATTTTTTTAGCCGAAAAATTCAATTTCAATTTCAGCTTCGAAATTCTGAGAAAAAAAAATTAAATTTTCGACATTTTTTTGCCGAAAAATCGTTTTTGAAGAAAAATTGGCGCATTTTAAAATTTCAGATTCAAAATTACAAAAAAATCATCAAATTTTCGGAATTTTTGTGATTCGAGTTTTGATCAAAAATGATTTTAAAAAATCCCATTTTTAAATTTCAGCTTCGAAATATTGAAAAAATCAAATTTGGCATTTTCTCTTTCGATTTTATATTTAAAAACTTCATCAAAAATCGTAATTTTGGAAAAAAAAACCATTCCCATCGGAATTTCTACAAAAAATTTGATTTCGATATTTTTTTGCACTCAAAAATTCGAAAAATTTAATATCACCTTCAAAAATTACATTTAAAAAATTTTCCAAGAAAATCGAATTTTGTTTCATTTTTAGCGAAAAATTGCAATTCGAGCATAAAAATTTCCGAAAAATGATAGCAATTTCGAATGCAAAATCAAATTTGCCACATTTTTTTAGCCGAAAAATTCAATTTTCCGGCTAATATTGCAACATTTTCAATTTCAGCCTCGAAATTCTGAAAAAAAATCTAATTTTCGACATTTTTATAATTAAAAAATCCACAAAAATTCGATTTTCGATCAAAAATGATTTTAAAAAATCCCATTTTTAAATTTCAGCTTCGAAATATTGAAAAAATCAAATTTGGCATTTTCTCTTTGAATTTTATATTCAAAAACTTCAAAAATCGTAATTTTGGAAAAAAAAAACCATTCCCTTCGGAATTTCTACAAAAAAATTTGATTTCGATATTTTTTTGCGCTCAAAAATTCGAAAAATTTAATATCAATCCAAATTTGATCAATTTTTCACCAATAATTTGCTCATTTCTAAATTTCAACTTGAAAATATCGAAAAAAATCTCGAATCTGACATTTTCTGCCTCGAAAAACTCGATTTTCTCGTCATTTTGATGTCAAAATCGAAATTTCGGTACCATTCCGGCTCGACGACAATTCCGTCCTCGATTCGACGGTCCAGCAACGCGTCATCCTGTTGCGGAAATATCAATCTCGTCGTTGGCCTGCAAAAAATGCCCAAATTTGGTCTCGTCGCGTCATTTTCTTATCGCACGCAACAAAAAATCGGATTATCGCAATAAAAATGTCAAAAAGCAAAAAGAAATTTGATGGTAAACAATTTTCAGCACGGAAAAAAAAACTTTTTTTTTTGACAAAATTTGAAATTTTAGCCATTTTTGAATGAAAAACCCAAATTTTTTGGAAAAATTTAAAATTTTGGCCATTTTTGAGCGAAAAATGCAACTTTTTTTGAGAAAATTTGAAATTTTGGATATTTTTGAATGAAAAATCCAATTTTTTGGCAAAATTTCAAATTTCAATCATTTTTGAATGAAAAATTCAAACTTTTTAGAAAAATTTCGCATTTCAATCATTTTTGAATGAAAAATTCAATTTTTTGGCAAAATTTCAAATTTTTGCTATTTTTTAGCGAAAAATTCAATTTTTTGGCAAAATTTCGAATTTCAATTATTTTTTAGCGGAAAATTCAAATTTTTCAGCCAAAACAAAAAAAAAAACTCACGAAAGCGCCGTAAAAATGTATCTCGCCGACGCGGCATCGTGTCCGCCTTCGTGCCGCGTTCCGAATTGACCGATCGGCTGAAGGAGCGGAAGGTTCGAAGCGCCGCAAAACGATTGGCCCATTCGAACGATGGTCCGAACAAGCGATTCCTTAATATTGCTCGAAATTTCTCAAAAAAAAAAACATATACTTTTTTATTTTTTTGTATTTCGAAAATCACCGAAAAACAAATGGCTACAGTAATCCGATTCAAAGGCACATGCCAAATTTTCAAAAAAAAAATCGAAAAGGCAAGAAACCAAAAAAAAATTGAAATTTCTCAACAAAATTCCGTTCAAATTCCTTGCAATATTTTTTGTTATTTGAATTTTTTCTGCATTCCAAATTTTATACCAATTTTTCGGTCAAATAAAATTCTAGGCGTGAAATTGTTGGAGGGAAAAAAAACCGATGCTTCTTTAAATCGGATTACTGTAGATGCGCCAATTTTCATCAAAAATTGCCGGAAAAAAAGTCAAAATGTCAATATTCCAAAAATCAAAAAAAAAAACCTCGCCGTGATGATAGGCCTGACTGTGGGCGACGGCGCCGGCCAACTGCGAGACCTTGATCTCGCGATTCTCGTCCATCCGAAGCATCGTCCACAACACTTTTCGCTGCGACGGCTTCAGCCCGTCGACGAGGCACGGAATCGAGCGCCGCAAATCGAGCAGGCCGAAGCGCGCGAGATCGCCGTCGACGAACTCGCGCAAACTCATTTCGTTGCGAGACCCGCCGCCGACGGCGTCCGCCTCGTCGCTCGCGCGGCGAAGCCACGATTTTCGATCGTCGGATTTGTCGCGATCGAACGCCAATCGAATTGCCGTCAAATCATCCGACGTCGCCGGTTTGAATCTGTCAATTTTTTGATGACCGAAAAAAAAATCATTTTCCTTTTGCAAATTTTTTTTGGCCAAACAAAACCCAATAAAAATTGTCATTTTTATCGAATTTTTGAATAATTTTTAAGGGAAAAATGGCGAAATTTGAAAACCAAGTGAAAAATCCCAAAATTCCACAATTTTTGGCAAATTTCGACATTTTTTCAAGATTTTTTCGAGAAAATCGCAAAAATCCAATTTTTTGGCAAATTTTGACATTTTTTCAAGAATTTTGCCGAGAAAAATCGCAAAATCTCAAAAATGTTCGAAAAAATCAACATTTTTCATCAAGAAAATCTAAAAAACCGAATTTTTTGGCAAATTTCGACATTTTTTCAAGATTATTTCGAGAAAAATAGCAAAATCAACATTTTTCGTCGAGAAAATCGCAAAAATCCAAATTTTGTCGTTTTTTCAATAATTTTGGCGAGAAAAATCGCTAAATCTCAAAAATTGTTTCAAAAAAAAAAAAAATTCAATAATTCAAATTTTTGGCAAATTTTGACCCGTTTTCTCAATAAAATGCACAAATTCTATAATTGCTCTCTTAATTGCGATAATTGGCATTTAATTACCGAACAGTGTGATGGTCGAGGTCCGAAAAGTATTGTCGCGCTTCGGCCGACGTCGACGTGCCGAGCCCCTTGTAGTATTTGATCGAATATCTCGACGACTCATCGTTCGTCGAACACCATTTTTGGAAGTCGGCGTGTGTGAAGAAAGCAAAGCTCTCATTGCCTTTGCGGGCCTCAAAAAAAATATTTAAAAAAAAAAATGTTCAATTCGTTTTCAACTTTCAACAACGGCGTTCGAAACGATCGAATAAACTCGATTTCGAGCAATTTCGGCCAGAATTTCCGAAACAAATTGATGATGAGCCCTTTGATGTGCGATCCGTCCTCGTCCTGATCCGCAAGGATCATTATTCGACCATAACGAAGGGGCCAATCTGCGGAAAAAAATTTCATTCCTCAAAAAATCTTTTTTTTTTCGATTAAAAAATTCCAAAAATTCCACTTTTTTTTGGGGTAATAAAATTTTAGGCGTGAAATTGTCGCAAAAAATTGGCATGCTCCTTTAAATCGGATTACTGTAGCGATTTTCGAAAATTTTGGTACTTTTCTGCTTTTTTTCGCTGAAAATTGCTCATTTTCATAAAAACTGCAATTTTTGGAAATAAATAAAAAAAATGTCAAAGCCAATTTTCAGTGATTTATTCGGAATTTTTCGTCGAAATGCGAAAAAAAGCAAATTTTCGTCAAAATGCAAATTTTTGCATGAAAAATAGGAAAAAATTGACAATTTTTAGTGATTTATTCGTTTTTTAGTGATTTATTCGAAAAATGAAAAAAAAATTTTTGGAAAAACTGGCAAATTTCAAGAAAAATGAAAAATATTTTTGGAAAAACCTTCAAATTTCATGAAAACCGAAAAATATTTTTGAAAAACCTTCAATTTTCAAGAAAAACGAAAATTTTTTTTGGAAAAACTGGCAAATTTCAAGAAAAACGAAAAATTTTTTGGAAAAACTGGCAAATTTCAAGAAAAAACGAAAATTTTTTTGGAAAAACTGGCAAATTTCAAGAAAAAACGAAAATTTTGAAAAACTAAAAATCAAGAAAAAACGAAAATTTTTTTGGAAAAACTGGCAAATTTCAAGAAAAATGAAAAATATTTTTGGAAAAACCTTCAAATTTCATGAAAACCGAAAAATATTTTTGAAAAACCTTCAATTTTCAAGAAAAACAAAAATTTTTTTGGAAAAACTGGCAAATTTCAAGAAAAACGAAAAATTTTTTTGGAAAAACTGGCAAATTTCAAGAAAAGCAAAAAATATTTTTGAAAAACCTTCAAATTTCAAGAAAAACTCTCAAAAACCATTAGTTTTGGGTGGTTAAAATGCTCAAAAATTGTTCATTTTTCGTAAAAAAAAATCAAAAAAGCGACATACTCTCGAAATCGTCGACGTCGACGCCGAAGCGCAATCCCAAAATTCGCATGAGACTCGCAATCTCATTGTTGCCACGCGCTGTCGCCTCGTCCAAATTGGCGACGTTCGCCAATTTGCCCTTCAACGGAAACACACCAAACGCGTCGCGTCCGAGTATCTCGAGTCCGGCCAACGCCAACGCCTTCGCCGAATCGCCTTCGGTGACGATCAGCGTGCACGATTTCGAATTTCTCGACGTTCCCGCCAACGCGGCGTCCTCCAATTTCACAATATCGCGAACATTCGACGATTTTTTCGACGGTTTCTAATTTGGAAAAACAAAATTGAATAAAATCAATAAAATTGCAAAAAAAAAATCGCCCAACTTTTTTGAGATTCACCACCGCGTCGACGATTTCGCCAACGAGTCCCGACGATTTCGCCCAATCGATGAGCTTCTGAAAATTTTTTCTTTTTTCCTTTTAAAAAAACTCAAAAATTTTAATTTCAATATGAAAATTCGCAAAAAAAAATCGGCGAAATTCAAAAAAATCCTCTTAATCTTTTATTTTCTTTGATAAATCTCAACAATTTGAGGAAATTCCAAATTTTTTCCTCAATTTCACATTGAAAACTTCAAATTTGAGATTTTCGCAAAAAAAGTTTCAAAAAATTTTTGTTTAAATCGCAAAATTAGAAAAAAAAAAATGCCACAAAATTGAAATTTTCTGGTAAGAATCAAAAATTTTCGGCCAAAATCGTCAATTTTTGTTCAAAGATGAAAAAAATTTGAAAAACCACCTCGAAAAAATGGCAATTTTTGAGTGAAAATTTTCAAAAATCCAATTTTCAGCAAATTTTGACGAAAACCATTCAAAATTCCTCAAAATTTGTCGAAAAATTGAATTTTTTAAATAAAAATCGCAAAATTTCGGCCGAAATCCTCAATTTTTGTTCAAAAATGAAAAAAATTTGAAAAACCACCTCGAAAAATGGCAATTTTTGAATGAAAATTTTCAAAAATCTGATTTTGAGCAAATCTTGACGAAAACCATTCAAAACTCCTCAAAATTTGTCGAAAAATTGAATTTTTCGCAAATTATAAAATTTCAATTTTTTCAAAAAATTGCTCGATTTTTTTTGCGAAAAGCTCAATTTTTAAATCAAAATTTCGATTTTTTTTTTCTAAAAATCTCAAATTTCGAACCTGCTTCTCAAAATCGAACGTCGACCCAAAATTTTTCGGTTTCGTCGTCAAAAATTCTTTGGTTTGACTCTCAAACGACGGATTCTCGATGAGACAATTGACGAACACCGACAAATTGGTCTTGATGAGCATCGGCTTGACGTTGGCCTCGGATTTGCCGGTGAGCTCGACGAGCTGCGTCTCGATCTCGCGCTTCAGACAACCAACGATTTTGTCGACGACGTACTCGACGTGGGTGCCGCCCTGCAACATTTTTTTTTTTTCATTTTTTTTATTTCCAATTTTTTTTGCTCACTTTTTCGTCAAATTTTCGCGTTGAATTTTTTTCGCTCGAAATATCAGCAATTTTTGATCAAATTTCCTCAAAAATGTCCAAATTTTTCACAATTTTCGCAAATTTCAACATTCGCGTCCAAATTGGGACCAAAAAATGCGGTTTTTGATTGATTTTCTCAAAAAACAAAGCTACAAAATCCGAAAAACCGAAATTTTCCAAATTTCGACACTAAAAATTGCAATTTTCGCAAAAAAAAAATGCCAAAATTTGTCGATTAAAAAAACCGGCTTTTTTTCGTCGAAAATTTCTCAAAAATTTGGCAAAATTTCTAAAATTTTTGCTCAAAATCGACGGGAGAAAAAAAAAACGAAAAAAAAAAATGCAATTTCAATCATTTCTTTTTTTCGAGGTGAGCGATTTTCCACAAAATCTCTCTGGTAACTCAAAACCAATCGGATCCGACAAAATTTGGCGCCGGAATCAACCTGATCCGGATTGGATTGGAAATTCGACGGATCCGATTGTAAAATTGTCGGATCCAATTGGTTTTTTGGGAATTTTAGAATCCAATTGGATATTTGTCGGATCAGATTTTATCCGTAGAATTTCGCATCGGATCAGGTTGATTCCAGAGTCGAATTTGCCGGATTCGATTCATTTTGAGTTACGAGAGAGGGCGTTCACGAAGGCTTCTCCTCGTGAAGCCAATTTCGGGCCCTTGGGGAAAATTGGATTCAAACTCAAACCCCCCCCCTTCCCCAATCTGATCCGGATTGGACGGATCACAATGTAAAATTGTCGGATCCGATTGGATAATGATCGAATCCGTGTTGTTTTAATCTTTCAATTCGAATCGACTCCGACAAATCTCCAATGCGGATCAGGTTGATTCCGGAGCCGAATTCGGCCGAATCCGATTGATTTTGAGATCCCACTAGTGGAAAAGAAAACGAATTTCCAACGTCTCACCTTTTCCGTGCAAATATTGTTGACGAAACTGACGCATTTCGGCAGACGGTCGGTTCGTCGACGAATCGCCACGTGCCAACGCGCGTTCGGATGACAATCGAGAATTTCGTCGGCGTCGGCGTCGTCGTCGTCGCCGAATTTGCGCACAAACGCCTCGAATCCGCCAACGTCGACGCGTTCGCCGTCGATGATGACGTCGACGCCCGACGGAAGTGTCGCGGCGACGTCGACGACGCGTCGTCGCATCAATTCAACTATCGCATCGTCGAGATGCGTCAAATTGAAACGGCTGAGGTCGGCGATGAATTCCACCTGAGAAATACGCTTTTTGTGAAATTAAAAAAATTTTTGCTGCTGAAAAAATTCTTATTTTTCGCTGAAAATTTTGGGAAAAATTGCATTTTTTTTCAAAATCGTCAAATTTTGACAAAAAATCCTAGTTTCTCTTCATTTTTCTCATTTTTTTGCAGAATTTATTGGGAAAAATTGCAATTTTTATACAAAACCGTCAGACTTTCTCAAAAAATTCCAGTTTTTATTCGTTTTTCTCTTTTTTTGCTGAAATTTTTTTCCAAAAATTGCAATTTTTCTCCATAACCGTAAAAATTCCAGTTTTGACTCATTTTTCGCTGAATTTTTGCCAAAAATTGCAATTTTTATTCAAAATCGTCAAAATGTGTCAAAAAATTGCAATTTTTCTTCATTTTTCGTTGAAATATTGCCAAAAATTGCAATTTTTTTTTAAATCTTCAAATTTTGTCAAAAAATTCCAGTTTTTACTCATTTTTCTCATTTTTTTGCAGAATTTTTGGGAAAAATTACAATTTATCGCCAACATTTTTTCGAAATTTCAATTCCAAATGGAATTTTCTTTAAAAAAAACATTGCATCATTTCATGCAATTCGTTCAAATTTCCAGCATTTTTTTTTTAATCAAAATCTCAAATCCGCGCCTAGTTTGTTCAGCCGCCTCTTTTTTCCGCCCAAATTCGCACTTTTCAACAAATCTCCTCAATTTTTGCCCAATATTGACATTCGTGCGATCAAAAAAATGGAATACTCTTTCCTCTTCTTTTTGTGGTTCGTATTTGATCAAAGGATGATATCGAGAGAACCTCGAGTCGTTTCAATGGTCCCCAGGTGTAAAGCCATCGGACAAACATCTCATCACGAGGTTCGGCATGCAATGCTTGGCCGACCTTGATGTCGGTGATTTATTGGTCCCCGACGGGGCACAAAAGGGACCGAAACGCGAATGATGTGACTCATCGTCAATTTGCGATCGGCCCGGAACTGTTTGCCCGAGAGACATTCGTCAACAAACAAGAAATTGTTACGGCTCATGCGTTTTCGATCGGCGCATCATTCGACCAGAATCGAGTGTTCGTCTATTTGCGCGCAAAAATGATATCATTTACTGGATTGTGACGCGAAAAATTCATACAAAATTTTTTTACCCATTTTTCCTAATAAATCTGCAATTTTTCACTGTAAATTTCTGCGACCCTTATAGTCATGTACGCGGTCTTTCGAAAATGGTCTCGCACGGACTAACAGGTTATTTCAAATTTTTTTATGGACCGCTTCGATAATTTTTTAATCGAATATCGTTGGAAATTCATGGAAACGCGAAAATCATCAGGAAAAATGAAGCAGTTCACGTGAAAGCAGCATTCACGCGTGGCGAGACCTTTTCAAGGCGCATGCGCGTAAATCTACCCGCGCTCGGCCAGTCGCCGGACGCTGACTATATATATATTTTCTATGCGCACTTGCATATTCCGAGTCTACGTCTTAGGCGAGGCGTGCAGGTGTGGGCGATTGGAAAGTCTCTACGCTCAGACACCTTTTAGCGCGGGTTCGATGCCTGCCCAGCTTGGAATTTGTTTGCCACAATTTTCAACAGTTTTCTGTGAGACACCCATCATTAATGGTCCCAAATCGAGATAAAATCGGCATTTTTCGACATCCCCCACACTGTTTTCCCAATCGGCGATCAATTTCGCCCCCAAATTGTTCGCAAATTGGTCTTTTTTCTCGCAGCTTTTCAATATTTGACTAACAAATCGAGCGAAAAAAAGCCCTTCCGATCATCCATCCTATCAACAACAAAAAACCACTCAACGACCGAATAAGGAAGATCGCACAAAAAGAACCACCGGAGTCTCGATGCCTCAAAAAATCACCGTGCGCCTTTAAAGGCGCATCCATAGGCGAATGAACAAGAAACATTGCTATGCGCCTTTAATCCAACTTTTTTTGGCATTCAACTTTCGGCGAAAATCGTCATGCGCCTTTAAACACAGGGTCTCGATTCCTTAAAGGTGATGCGCCTTTAAATTCGATTAAAAAAAAACCAAAACCGCCTCTCAAATTCAATTTCTTCCAATCCAACTCGCAAAACCCCCCCCCCCTATGCGCCTTTAAACTCGACCAATTTCGGACCCCATCAAACCAATGCGCCTTTAAAAATCAAATGATTAAAAATTCATCTTATCGATGATACCCAATGAGTCATATCAGCCAACTGCTTCCCCTCCTCCTCCTCCTCTCTCTCTCTTCTCTGCGTCTCTCTCTCTCTCTCTCTGTCCTATCAAAACGCCCCGCCCATTCGGCGCCTATAAAACGTCCAGCATGCACAACGAATCATTGCCATTTCGTTTTCTTCACATTTTTGTGTGTCCCAACAAAAAAAAACCGCTCGAAACCTAACCATTTGTGTGTATTTTCGCGTGTTTTTCGGCGTACTAACAACTAAACCAAAAAAATGCTCAATTTTCTTGTCGCTCATTTTTTACGCCAAAAAACACGATGAGAATATTTTCAGCCCCTCAATCGCACCCAAAAAAACAATTTCTTAAACAATGAGAATCGCTTGCATTTTTCTCATCTTCTTTCTAGCCGCCATCATCAACGCGATGCCCAACGGCGACGGAATGACCGGCGGACGCAGTGTGCCGCATCCAAGTAGGTCTTTAATTAGCCCTAATTGGCCCTATAATTGACCGCCGCTAATTATTGACGTCTCTTGTTGTAGACTCGGCCGCCGGACAGGAATTGGCAAACAAGGATCTTTCCGGTGGAATGACCGGCGGAAAATCGGTCCCACATCCAAGTACGTCTTAATTACCACTTAATTGCCATCTAATTACCCGCCATCAACAATTTGCAATATCAATTCTTGTAGACTCGGCCGCCGGACAGGAATTGGCCAACAAGGACCTCTCGGGAGGATTGACCGGCGGAAGCGGCGTTCCACACCCAAGTAAATAATTAATTAATTAATTAATTAATTCGGCACCATTCTAATTATCGCACATAAATTAGTCTTAATTGCACCGCTTTGTTTTTCTTCTGTTGATTGCCTAATTACACCAATTATGTAGATTCGGCGGCCGGACAAGAATTGGCCAACAAGAATCTCGAGGAGAAGTCGGTGCTCGAAGGCGGCACACAGGTGAAGCCGTGGCTCAAAAATCAGCCCGACGTCGCCGCCATCCGCCAACAACACAATCAACAGTAATTAACGACTCCGTTTAATTGTCTAATTATGTATTCTGTATATAATCCGCGAAAGTGCAACTATTTATGCCGAAAATAAAGCTTCTCGCTCTCTAGGCTAATTATTCGGACTAATTATCGGTAAATTACAGCAAAAAAAAAGAAAATTGCTCAAACCTAATTAAGGGCAATTAACCCAAATTACGCATCAGAAAAATCGATATAATCTGGGGAAATTGAAGAATCAATGAAAACTCTTCATAATTCCCGAGCAATTAGTTGACTAATTAATGGTAATTAAGGGTAATTAACCCCCGTTTTAAGGCAAAAATCCGTTTTTTTTTTCAAATCGATTTTGCCAATCAAACAAACCTTTGTGTAATCATCGCAATTTGTGCACTCTTCGACAATCGCTTCGTCAACATTTCGCATGTTGTCGTACCAACGCTAAAATACGCACATCAATTGTCGGTTTTGATAAGCATTTGACGGTTTCTCCCCCAATTCGTTTTCTTTTCAAATGGAAAACGTGCTGCGGACAATTTTCAACGCCGTTGCCCGGCGAGACGTCCGCAGATTGAATACAAGAATTTTCTTATGGAAATCGTGCGGCCGACAATTTTCTGCGGACATCGTTGCGGGACCAACAAAAAATACCTGTCGGAATTTTTTGCGCCGTTTCGAGTCGACCGTCTCGACGACAAATTCTTTCGAGAAAATATTGCACAATTTCGCACCGTAGCCGTTTCGACCGCCTGCAAAAAAAAAGAAAAAAATTTCATTTGGAAAGAAAGAAACAAAAAACAACAATCTCTCACCGACAACTTTAACCTCCGAATCATCATAATTGGACGATGTGAACAAATTGCCGAAAACGAGCGTCGGCACATAGATGCGCTCGGTGGGATGAATCTCAACCGGCAGCCCTTTTCCGTTATTCCACACGCCGATTCGACCCGATCGTCTAAATAAGCAAGAAAAAAAATGAACGAAAATGTCATTCGAGGTAAAGTGCCCGTAATCCATTGATGGGATCAAGGGAGTGGAACACAATCGGATGATCTCCGCCAATTCCATACAACTGCACTATGATGAGCCGTACAATTGCTTGGTAATTCATGGCGTTATTGGAGAAGAGGGGAGGGGAGGGGAAACGAGTCGGCGACCTCTCGCGTCATCGCGCGTGCGCATTTTTCACCTGCGCCATGCATGCACCCCCGACACTCAGCGAAAACGGCGTAGATGAACGCGATGAGCGCGCGCGAGACAAAATTTCGAAAAATTGGAAAAAAAAAAAACATTTTTTTTCTACCTATCAATTTCAACTTCGAGCCGATTCATCGACGGATCTCGCATTTTGTTATCCGCCGCGTTCACTAGAATCTCATCGAAGATCTTGATGAGACCCGGCGGGTAGGTGAGCACACGCGGCTCCATTCGCCGCGAATTTCGATTGTAGATCCATATTTCCTGAAAATTGCAACAAAAATCCATTTGTTATTTTTTGCGATAATAAATTTCGAATTCTTAAACAATAAAAAATGGCGGGCTTGGAAAAAAAACACGAGAAATTTCTACTAAAATCAAAAAAAATTTTTGGACCAAAATAATCCAAATGCAAAAAAAATTTCATTTTTAAAATTTGAGCGGAAATTCATTTAAAAAAAAAGCCAAATTTCACTAAAAATTGACCAGTTTCGCAATTTTGTTGAAAAAATCGAACAATTTCATTCCAAAAATCATTTTTTGGACGCAAAACGTCAACGTTGGCACAAAAATGGCGATTTTTCAGCAAAATTGGCAAAACTCGTCAATTTTCAGCGAAATTCGGCATTTTTCAACAATTTGTGCACAAATTTCTCAATTTTAATCCGAAAAAAAAATGATTTTTGGATTGAAATTTGCCAATTTTTAGAAAAAAAAAGTTGAGAACATTGCAAAATTTCGTGGAATTATTAAAATCGGAATTATTGCGATTTAAAAAATCCCGAAAATGATACAAATTTTTTTAATGCAATTTTCTCAGCAAAAAATCTAAAAATCATTCAAAAATTTCACAATTTTCGCTCAATAATAAAAAAATTGCCATTTTCAGCAAAAAATTCAATTTCTGCCTCAGAAATCTAAAAATCATTCAAACATTTCAAAACTTTCCCTCGAAAATTTTGGAAAAATCGCCAATTTTAGAAAAAAAAATCCCCATTTCCACCTCAAAAAAATCTAAAAATCATTCAATTTTTCACAATTTTCGCTCAAAAAAAATTGCCATTTTCAGAAAAAAATGCAATTTTCTCAGCAAAAACCTTAAAATCATTCAAAATTTCAAAAATTGACAATTTCAGCAAAAAAAAATTCAATTTCCGCCTCAAAAAATCTAAAATCATTCAAAAATTTCACAATTTTCGCTCAAAAATAAAAAAATTGCCATTTTCAGAAAAAAATTCAATTTCCGCCTCAAAAAATATAAAAATCATTCAAGATTTCAAAAATTGACAATTTCAGCAAAAAAAAAATTCAATTTCCGCATCAAAAAATCAAAAAATCATTCAAAATTTCACAATTTTCGCTCAAAAATAAAAAAATTGCCATTTTCAGCATAAAAAAATTCATTTTTCTACCAAAAATCTAAAAAATCATTCAAATTTTTACAATTTCCACTTCTCAATTTGTTTTGTCTTGTGGGCAAAAAAAAAACGAAAACCGAATTGTCGATTCTACCTGCTCCTCGCGAACTCCAACCCCACCAATATAGGTGTCGGGTCGCAGTAAAACGTGCTCCATTGCGGTTTTGCGCTCGTATTTGCCGGCTTCCGCCGACGACGAGCACATCGCGCGGCTCGCCGCCATCAGCCGACCGATGCGCTTCATCATCTAAAAGCAAAAATCGGCAAAAACCAGACAAAATCGAAAAAAAAGCAAAACAGTAGATAAATTCGCGAAATTTCGGCGATTTTCAACAAAAAAAAACGGAAATTGAGGGGAAAAACAGTTTATTCCACGCGAAATCTCAAAGTTTTTTCAGAGGAGACGCCCACGGCAACGCTCGGAGCCGCAATTGCACACGATTTGCTCGTCGTTGTCGCGCATCATCGTATAATTGTAGTCCCAGCACAATTCCTGAAGAAAATTGAAATTTTTCAAACAAAAAATTGAAAAAATTCGACCCGGAAATTCGATTTTTTCGGAATTTCGTGGAATCGCAACAAAAAAAACATAAAAAATGGCCGCAATTTTGAAAATCTCAGCCAAAAAATTGGGGAACAAATCAAAGATTTTCGAAAAATCCCAATTTTCGTGTCAGTTTTGGGTCAATTTTCTCCAAAATTATGCAATTTTCCAACCTCTCCGGCTTTAATAAATCGCCTAGCGAAAAATGCGGTCCACGGAAGCCTCAAGTCATGCGTATCATACAAAACATGCTGGGTGACGACGTTCGGATCGCAGGAATGGTTCAAGAATCTGCAAAAACTCAATTTTCAAAAATTTTTTGGAGAAAAATTCGCCAAAATCTCTCAAGTTGTACACAAAATCGTCATTTTCAGCAAATTTCAGAAATTTTAAAGAAAAATTTGCAATAAATCGTCAATTTTTCGTAAATTTATTCAATTTTCAAAATTTCTGATCAAAATTCGCCAAAATCTCTCAAATTGTTGACATTTTTTCGAGAAAATTGTCAATTTTCGGCAAATTTCAGAAATTTTAAAGAAAAATTCGCAATAAATCGTCAATTTTTCATAAATTTATTCAATTTTCAAAATTTCTGATCAAAATTCGCCAAAATCTCTCAAATTGTCCACATTTTTCCAAAAAAAATCGACAATTTCAGCAAATTTCAAAAATTTCAAAGAAAAATTCGAAAGAAATCGTCAATTTTTCGTAAATTTATTCAATTTTCAAAATTTCTGATCAAAATTCGCCAAAATCTCTCAAATTGTTGACATTTTTTCGAGAAAATTGTCAATTTTCGGCAAATTTCAGAAATTTTAAAGAAAAATTCGCAATAAATCGTCAATTTTTCATAAATTTATTCAATTTTCAAAATTTCTGATCAAAATTCGCCAAAATCTCTCAAATTGTCCACATTTTTCCAAAAAAAATCGACAATTTCAGCAAATTTCAAAAATTTCAAAGAAAAATTCGCAATAAATCGTCAATTATTCGTAAATTTCTTCAATTTTCAAAATTTCTGATCAAAATTCGCCAAAATCTCTCAAATTGTTCACATTTTTTCAAGAAAATCGTCAATTTTCAGCAAATTTCAAATATTCGCAGGAAATCATCATTTTTTTTTTCAAAAATTCGCCAAAAATCTCTCAAATTCTTCACAATTTTCAGCAAATTTCAATTTTCACCCCAATAATTTTTTTTTCGCCCAACAAAAAAAAGAAACACCAAAACAGGCACCTTCCAATATTGCCTCTCCGCTTCGCGTCCAACACGAACAACGCCAAATCGCCGAAATAGTCGTCCCATTTGAATATCGCCTGGTTCCTCCGCCGCTTCCTCTCCTCGCGCTCCTCCTTCTTCCTCTGCTGCTCGGCAATCGCCGCCTTCTGCTTCTCGACTTGTCGCGACGATCGTCGAGCCGCGACATCCTCCTCCTCCTCCTCCTCGGAGTTGATGCTCCCCTCGATGCCAAGATCGTCGTCATCCTCATCGGCGTCGTCGACGTTCGCCGGCGATTGCCTCGACTCGTCCTCGTCGAATCCCAAATCGTCGTCGCTGTTCTCGTCCATCATCTTCTCGCGCTCGACGACGTCCTTCAAATCGAGATCGGCGAAATATTGATCGTCGTTCTGATGCTGATCGGCGAGCTCGTTCGTCAGAATCGCGCCGACGTAGTTGCAGATGAACGCGCCGTGCGGGATGTCGGTGAGCGCGCGAATGCCCCAACCCGACTCGGCCGTTTTGTACAGCTGCAAAACCCTAACATATATTTTATTTTTCTCATTTTTCGCTAGCACAAAAAATTCATAACCAAATTTGGCAGTTTTTTCCTCAAAAATTACCGATTTTTTTCTTTTTAATTTCCAAAAAACCACTAGAAATTTTCAGAAAAAAGTAGAAAAAAAAGGAAAAAATTGTGCAACTTTTTCAATTTTTCGCCAAGAAAATTCTGTACATTCTGCGTTTTTATCGGAAAATTTTACAAATCTAATTTTTAAGCAAAAAATCAGGTTGGTCGTTTCATCCGGACACATTCTTATCAATTTTAATCAAATATTGAGGGATTTCGATATCCAAACTAATAGATTCACAAAAAAATGAGCATTAAAATGTTTCCAATCATTATTTTTTTACTAGAATCGCAAAATTACTCATTTCTAATAGAATTTGAAAAAAAAAATCATTAAAAAAGACAAAAAAACCGACTTATTGCAATTTGATGGAAAATCGACACCGACCGCGACGCATACGCAACGCGGCCAATTCTTGGCGCGCAAATTCAAATTCTCGATTTGAGCAGCGAAAAAAACCGAAAAAAAAAAAAGAAATTCCGAATTTTCGTTGGAAAATCATTAAAAAATCACAAAATTATTGGAATTGTTTCAAAAAACGCAAAAAAAAAAACTCGAAAAATCGGGCATTTTTCAAAATTTTTCGCTGAAAAATCGATGATTGGCTTCAAAATTTTGCGAGAAAGACACAAAAAAAAAAGAAAATGATCACCTGAATTGGATATTTGATATTATTCTGAACCACTCGATTATGGCAATTTTTGCGATGACACGAGCACTGATCGTTGCACTCATAAATGCCGCTGTACACTTTTTCGGACAGCATTCGGTAGTCATATCTGAAATCACAAACTAAATCTCTCAAATTCGAGCTAAAATCGAATTTTTCCCCCCAAAAAAAGAAGAAAATCGTCTCAAAATCTTCAAATTTCTCAAAAAATCGACAAGTTTAGGCTTCTTTTTTCGAAAATCTACAAAAAAAATCTACGATTTTACGATGAAATCAATTTCAATCTGAAAAAATGCAAAAGTTTTCAATTTTCTGAAAAATAGTCACTTAAATTTCTACAATTTTCAATTTCAACACGAAAATTCGCTTTTTTTTTGTTCTCAAAAATCCCTATTTCTTCAAAAATCACAAATTTTTCAAATTTTCTTAATTTTTGATCATTTTCAGTCAAAAAAATTGCTCGAAATTTGAAATTTCTCGTCAAAAACACAGAAAATTCTTTAAAAAATTCCCAATTTCGTGTCAACCAAAAAAAAAAAAAAGAAGAGGGAAATCACTGACAATCCTTGAAACTTCTTATTCTGACTCCTGAGATCGTTGGGCAGAGCATTGTACGACGAGATGCTCAATCGAAGGCACTCGCACTTGCTCGCATCGCTGCAATCGCCCTCGCACGAGCATCCCGAGCAAAAATCGCGATTGATCGTTTGCAAATCCACCGTATCATCATACTGATATCGTCGTTTCGTGTAGTCAATCTGAACGACACAAAAAATTATAAAACATTATATTGTTAGAGTCAAACGACTGAATAAAATTTTAAAAAAAAATTAATTATTAGCTATGTGCCAATCAGAGCCGCACGGAACTTAAATGTTCTAATGGACCTATTAATGCAATGAAAAAAAAATCATTTTCCGCCCGAGTGCTCATTCGACAAGGACCTTCTTTTTGTCGAACACTGCTAAAAACCCTCTTAGATTCTCTAGACGTGCTAGATGTTGGGAGATATCTCAAGCGAAACACGAAAATGTCACAAAAAAACGGAATTCCGCGCAGCTCTGGTGCCAATGCGACAGCGAGAACTACGCAAGATTGCGTACATTGCATTATAATGTACGCGCATTCAATATTCAGTCAACGAAAAATTGAAATCTACACAGATTTCGCGGTTTTGAAGGCCACGCCTCGCTTTAGTCGTAATTCTCTTTTTAAACCCATCAAATTTCAACCAAAAATCGTCTGAAATGCCTCAAAATTGCAATTTTCAGCCATCGACAACACCAGAAATCGATCCCGATCGACTCACCACCGGCGGATTCTCATCATCGACGGTGTTGACCGCCGGAATCGGGATGCCCTCGATTCCATTCGCGTAGTCCTCGGTTTTCAGGTACTTCTCATCAACCTGAATATGGAAATTCAAAGCAAAAAACGCAAAAATTTGCATTTTTCGATGAAAAATTGAAAAATGAATTCGAAAAATGACATTTTTGCATCAACTTTTTCGAAAAAAAAAGAATGAAAAATTCAGATATTATTAGAAAAGTGAAGAAAAATTACGGTTTTCTAAGAAGACGACCTATTTTGAACAAAAAATTCGAAAAAATGCGTTTTCCGCTTTAAAAATATCATAAATTTGAGATTTTTCGAAAAAAAAATCCAACAAATTTCGATGTATGGTTATTTTTGCGTCAAAAATTCGCAAAATGCTGAAAATTTTGAAAAGAAAAATTATATTTTTTCCAAATTTGTCATTTTTTTCTCAAAACAAATTGAAAATTCAAAAAAACAATTTGGCAAATATCGCAAAAATTCAACATTTTCCACCATTTTCGTCAAATTTTTGCAGCTCAAAATCTAAGAAGCTCAAAATCTCACATTTTCGCCAAATTCATTAATTTTTTCTCGTAAAAAATATCTCAAAAATTCAAAATTTCGCCAATTTCTCTCACCGTTATGTACGTTTCGGTATCAACATCCAAATCGAACGAAAAACAATCGATGGTGATCATCGATTGGGTCTCGCGCAGATAATTCGTGATCTCCTTGCAGCCGGCCAGCGGTTTCCCGCACGGACCATAATAGATTATGCATTTTCGGGTGTTCGCGCGTCGTTTGAACACTTTCATCGTGAATTTCTGCAAAAAAAAATGAAAACTTCTCATTTCTATGATAAAATCGGCCATTTCAAATCAAATTCAATCAAAAAAAGAAAAAAAATTATTCAAATTTCCGAAATTCATAGCATTTTGACAATTTTTTTCCTCAAAATCTATCAGAATCAAGCGATTTTCGCAAATTTTCCGAAAAACTGAAGATAATTTTTCAGAACTCGCAAATTTTCAACCAAAAAATGTCGAAATTCGTAATTTTTCAACAAAAAAAAATCAAAATTATGAAATTTTCAGAACAAATATGAAATTCTCAAAGTTTTCAGCAAAAAATGTCAAATTCCCTCAAATTTTCAGCGATATTTGAAATTTTTCAACAATATTAATTCAAAATTATCAAATTTTGATGTAAAACTTTCAAAAATTTCCCAACAAATCTCGAAATTCTCAAATTTCGATGTGAAAATCTCTCGAAATTCGATAATTTTCAACAAAAAGAAAAAAAAATGTTGAAAATTATTCAAATTTCCGAAATTCATCGCATTTAGACAATTTTTTTCCTCAAAATCTGTCAGAATCAAGCGATTTTCGCAAATTTTCCGAAAAACTAAAGAATATTTTTCAGAACTCGCAAATTTTCAACCAAAAAAATGTCAAAATTCGTAATTTTTCAACAAAAACAATTCAAAATTATGAAATTTTCCGAACAAATCTGAAATTCTCAAAGTTTTCAGCAAAAAAATGTCGAAATTCGTAATTTTTAGAACAAATTGATCACGATTTCTCAACCAAATTTCGAATTTCTCAATTGTTTTTTCTTTTTCAAATCAAAATGAAAAAATCTCGAAATTCGGCAATTTCTCAACAAAATTTTTCTCTCTCAAAGAATGTCTCGAAATTTTCAGCAAAAAAAAAAAATGCCGCCCGAAAAATTGCTCAATTTTAGTCATCACAAAACCACACTCACATATCTCCTCCAACCGCAAAGAATCGGCACGTGAAGCGGCGAGCATCGATGGAATCTCGAATCGTACGGATCGGCGTCCATTCCCTGAAGGCAGTCGGGACCACACAGCTCGTGGAATTTGAGCTCGCTGAGCGGTTGGAGTTGCGGCGCGCGAACAATCGTGCGATTGATCTACAAAAAAAAAAGAAAAGAATGGAAAATCAAACCGACAACTCACTATATTCTGTTTTCGTCGCCTCTCGACGATCTCGTTGCTCGTCAACTCATTGCGCTTTCGTCGTCGCGCCTTCAGATTCTCGCGTGTGACGACGACATCATCATCAACGTCGTCGTCGTCGCCTCCGCCGACGCCGTCATTGCCATCGCACGTCGGCACGCCGAGCACCGGCATCTTCGGCGTCGACTGCGACGGATCGAATAAGCGGCGGAGGCGTTGGACGACGCGACGCGACAAATTGTTCTCACCGCTCTGATCGATCACCTATTAAAAAAAATATGGCCCAGCGATTTCGATGGTCCCTAGATGATAAACTCACAACATCGGGTATTCGATAGGAGCCCCGATAGAGCTTCTCATCGGTGTGCGGATGGAAACCGGCGCACGGGTACTGTAGGCACGTCTGGCCGAGCACCGAACCGCCGAACGTGTAGCGGACCACACAGAACGCGCGGTCCACGTGAACCACCGTCACCGTCACCTTGTTGCGCGAGTTGTCGGATTTGAAAATCTGCAAAATCAAAAATTTGTTTTTTTTTTTTGTGTTGCAATCATCATCAGCTCGTTTCCAACTTGAAGTTTCTCGCCGACGCTGACGCGAAGAAGCGGCCATTCGGGATATCTCGCCAAATAGCTGCAAATTACCGTATATTTGAGTGGTCTCGACGCGAACGCAAATTCTCGATCATCTCGAGCCAGCGGAATGCGGAATTTCGCCATTTAGTAGGAAATTTCTTCAAAGAAAAAAAAAAAGATGTGCGTCAACACACCGAATTTGACGCAAATTTTCAGAAATTCGCGTCCGTGAATAATTCGAGCAAGCGGAATTCCGCTCCAATTCTGATGGACGTGTGTGATCGATCACAAAGATAAACAATTCAAAATGTTTGACAAATCGCCAAATGGGACCCGAAGCTTGTCCGACGATTGTTCTTTCAATTCTTAGGTGATCGTGTTCGTCACATTTCAAAATTTCGTTGGCGACACCAAAAAAAAAATTGGGAATTGTCGTCAAATTGAGTGCACAAGTCCGCAATTTCGCTTATTTGGCAACTTCAAAAAAATGCTCGGAAATTTTGAATTTTTCAATTTCTCACCTCAAACTGAAAATCGGAATTGCGGACTTGTGCATTTGATTTGACGACATTCACACGAGGACCCATTTTTTCTTGATTTTTGTAGCTTTCAAAAAAAAAAGAAGCACTCACTGCATCAAAAATTTGGCGCGCGTCTTCTCGCGTATCAACTCGTGCACATGGAATCGATCCAGCTCTTTTTTCTCGTTGAAACTCTGCTCGACCATCGGCACGATTTTGACGAGCTCGAGTCGACGCCTCAGCAAGGCACGATCGCGCGACACCGCCGCCAACCGTCCGATCGCCATCGCCTCGACGCTCGTCGGATGCGTCGGCGCGCGCACGTAACGATCTTGGCCGTCGTCGAAGAACACGAGAAACTCGTCGCCGTGTATCATCGCGTGTCCGCCGATCGTGCCCGCCATCCATTTCGCGTCGGTGGCGTCGCCGCCGCCGCCGCCGCCGACGTCGACGACGCGACACACCACACGAAGGCCGATGTACATGGTTTGGGCGACGACGGCGTCGAACATGGTGAAACGCGGGTGCGCCATGTTGGCGATGTGCACCAATTTCGTCTCGCCATTCTCGGCGAATCGCACCCGATAATGGCACATGTTGACCTGAAAATTCAATCTTCTTTTTTTTTTGTTTGAATTTTTTTTCTAAAAATCATAATTTTTCATTTTTTTGGCAAAATTATTGATTTTTCCAACAAAAAAAAACGCAAAAAATTTTTTATAAATGGGAATTTTCGCTTTAAAAGTGAATATTCTTTTTTTTTGTTGAAAATATTAAACCAAAAATTTGAAATATTTGTTCATTTTTCATTAAAAAATTCAATTTATAACCAAACTCGATAGTTTTAGACATTTTTGCGTGAAAAATTTCAAAAATTTCGTTATTTCTGGGCCAATTTTCAGATTTTGTCAGAGAAAACAAAAAAATCCGACAAAAAATCCAATTTTATAAAAAAAAACACAACAATTCCGCTCAAATTCTTCCAAAACATCGATTTTTTTTTTCAAATCCAAAAATCCTAAACTTCCTCAGCGTTTTTCGCGCAATAATAAATAATTTTCAATTTTTCATGAAATTTTCATTTTAAAAATTCTCAAAAATCTTCAATTTCCAAAAAACCTACAGTGCGCGTCATAATGATACGCCACCCCCCAAATTTCGCAGTTTTGAGAAAACCATATAAATTGGTGACGAGGCAATTTCATTTTCGAATTCAGGGCCATTAAAAACCTATACACGCGTATTTTCATGAGGTTCCGTTGGTCCGTATCCATACAGCCCGAAAAAGTTTGATTTTCAAGCGCGTCATAATGATACGCCACCCCTTATTTTTTGTCTTTTCTTTCGACATTTTTGCATGTCTCTCGCTGATTTTTTTGTATTTTGTACAGTTTTTCAACAATCTTTTTATTTTATCCATAGAACGATCGTCCGTTTTAGTTTTGGCTTGAAATCGGGCCGAATTCGGTCCTTTGAACGACTTCGTTTCGTTTAAGGACTAAAACGCAAGAAAAAAGTCTAAATAACTATAAGACAACAAGTTAGAACGCGAGAACACACCAAAGTCAATAGTTAGTAGTCTCTCCATAGTTTTGGATCACTTCACATATTCGGTTTCGCATTCTGTCGGCGAGTTCCTTGAGGTATGCAAGTGACCCACTGTTCCATTCCAGTCAAATTGCGGCCTTCAGCTCATAAAAGGTTCCCATTCTGTGTGCGGACAGCCTGACCGATTTTTCACTTATAAACTATTTTCACTACTTATCCTTCTCATAATCATCGGCCGCGGAAAATCTCTTACATTAGCTCACAGGATAAAGCTCAAATTGACATTATGGTATAACTCAATCAGAGAGTCAAGCCGATTAAGGATGGTATCGGACGTTTTCGAAAATCTAACTGTATACGTAACTACGAAATTTCTTTAAAATTTTTTTCACGAATTTCAACAAGACAATCCAGTCATTCACAAGAGCTACAGCATCTTCAATTGGTTTTAGTATCAAACTTTTGGATGGATCAGCCAGCTCCTCAACTTCAATCTCGTCGAAAACGTCTGAAGGCTTCTTGAACGTTCCTTTCGCTCAAAAAGCAGAATGGGAACCTTTTATGAGCTGAAGGCCGCAATTTGACTGGAATGGAACAGTCGGTCACTTGCATACCTCAAGGAACTCGCCGACAGAATGCGAAACCGAACATGTGAAGTGATCCAAAACTATGGAGAGACTACTAACTATTGACTTTGGTGTGTTCTCGCGTTCTAACTTGTTGTCTTATAGTTATTTAGACTTTTTTCTTGCGTTTTAGTCCTTAAACGAAACGAAGTCGTTCAAAGGACCGAATTCGGCCCGATTTCAAGCCAAAACTAAAACGGACGATCGTTCTATGGATAAAATAACAAGATTGTTGAAAAACTGTACAAAATACAAAAAAATCAGCGAGAGACATGCAAAAATGTCGAAAGAAAAGACAAAAAATAAGGGGTGGCGTATCATTATGACGCGCTTGAAAATCAAACTTTTTCGGGCTGTATGGATACGGACCAACGGAACCTCATGAAAATACGCGTGTATAGGTTTTTAATGGCCCTGAATTCGAAAATGAAATTGCCTCGTCACCAATTTATATGGTTTTCTCAAAACTGCGAAATTTGGGTGGTGGCGTATCATTATGACGCGCACTGTATAATTTCGCTAAAGATCCTTCAAAAAATATTATTTTCATCTTTTTTTCCGTAAAATTCTCAAAAAAAAAATCAAACTTCATTAAAAAAAACAAAACCTATATTTCGCTAATGATCCTCTAAAAAAAAATGCCAGCAAAAATCAAAAATTTTCAAATTTTTCATAAAATTCCCAAAAAAAACCCACAATTTCGAACAAATTCCCCCCAAAAAACTGCCGGAAAAATCGATAATCTTCATTTTTTTTTTCATAAAATTCTCAAAAAATCCATTCAATTTAAAAAAAAACCGCACCTGCTCTTGCACGACGGCAATCTCAAACGGCGCCGCCTCGTCGGCAACACTACGCGCCAGACAAAAATCGTCGTATTTGAAGAGGAGCGCGTCTTGAAGCGACGGCGAATTCGCCAACATCGTCTCCATTCGCCGATTGTAGATCTCCTGATGCGTCGCCAATTCTCGCTTCATCTCGCGCATCGCCTCGAGATTCCGACGACACTCCAACGACGTCAATTCGACGGGCGTCGTCGGATTCTCGCGAATCTCGGCCATCAGCTCCGACATTGCCGGCTTTCTGATCTCGCTCATCGCCGCTTTCGCGCGCTCGATACTCTGTCGCACCGATTGTGTCGTCAGTTGATAGTCGCGTTGGAAGTCGTCCAATTCTCTGGAAAAAATTTGGAATAAAAAAATACACGCAATTGTTTGGGTGGTGAAGTTTCACACCATTTTGGTGTCAAAATCACAAAAACTCACAAAATTTCATTGAAAAAACATGGGAAATTGCTCACAAAAATCCGAAAATGTTCAAACCTTATTTTTTCGCAGTTTCTTTTCAATAAATTCTCAAAAATTTCACATTTTCGTTAATTGTGTGACCGCTTGAAAAAAAAAACGCAATTTTTAATGCGATTTTTATGCAAAAATTTGAAAAATCTCGTCATAATTCTAAAACCCTCAATTTTCGTGGTAGAAATCGGAAAAATTCCGAATTTAATTGGAAGGAAAAAAATCATCAAAATTCGTACTGATCGAATTTTCGGCACTCGCTCTCGACGGTGTTGTTTCTCGCGAAATAATCGAGCGCCGCTTCGACGACATTCTTCTGAAATTCGGCGACGTCGTTCTGCGTGATCGCCTTCCGCTCCATCTCGATCCATTCAACTCGAATCGGAAATTGATTAACCTTGAGAGAGAAACAAAATTGAATTGAAATGCTCAAATCGACGTACCCTCAACCACATAATCGTCAATCCCAACACAACATTCGCCGGCGGCATCAGCGTATGTCGCATCAACATCAACGGTCCGAATCGCGAACTCTCATCGACGCCTATCGTCGAGTTCGACATGCACGTTTTGATCGTGTTGAACGTGAAGCTGTCCAATCGATCAAAACACAATCCGGTGAAGTCGATATCGCTCGAATTGTCCTCTATAAAAATAATAGCGTGGAAAAGAAAACTGTCGGCGAACTATGGATGCGAGAAGCTCAAAAGCCGCCCACAGGTTAACGTCCGACAATCAATCTTCCCAAGTCGGAAACCGTCACAATCATCGAGAAAGCTTCGGGGCAAAGACCGGGCAGCGAGACAGCGGCGTCTCGCGCGCCAGCCCAACACGCACACCACTAGGCCGCGCTGGCAACTGACACCGGCCGACACACATCGCGTTTAATTTCCAGAGTGCGCTCTCGCCGTCTGACGTCTACAATCACTCACCGTCTAGCACTGCAATACAGATTGCGACGACCGTAAGCTCTGGCGAGCCAAGTCCGAGCTTCTCATGGATATGCTCATATTCGCCAGTGTTTCGGTACTCTTCAAGGCATTTTTTTGATGTCTCCAAATCGACGGCGAGCTCGTCGCGTACCTACAAGAAAAATTTCAACAAAATTCTTTTTTTGAAAATTTTTCAAAAAATTACACTTGACTTCAAATAATCATCTCGTGTAATTTCGCAATCAATAATGAGCTCGGGCTTCATTTTCACGAACCATCTGGAATAAACCGCAATTCGTTAGCCACAATTCACACTTACGATAGAATTTTGTCGATTCTCTCCAATTTGAGCTCGAGCTCTTCATCGTCGTTGAGATTTTGCACCTTTTCTAAAATGATATCGCTCTCATCGCTATCACTGAAATTTTCCGTTAAAAAATCATCAAAATAATTTTTTTCTGAATTTCTTACCTACTCAAATCAACGACATCGGGATTCACTTCAAATTCCTGAAAACAAAAGTGCAATTTTTCAAGTTTTTTGAAAATTTTACCCCAGTTCCATTCACAGAACTCACAGGATTCACAATTTGCTGTTGGTCTGTCTCTTCGATTATCTAAAAATTCGAAAAAAATTATTTTCGGATTTTTTCTACAAACCTCAATGTCGTCATCGTTGTCCATTGTTTTTTTCTATTTTTTCTTGGTTAAAAAACCTGTAAAAATATTTGAAAATTTTGCAGGAAAGCTTGTAATTCGGGCAGAAAATAAAAACGTAATTTGAATAATTGTCCGCGTGGACTACACAATTTCAATTTTCTCGGCCACGGCCATCAAATTTCGGCGATCATGAATGGAAGAAAACCGGTAGAAACTTGAATTTTTTGTCAGAAATTTTTCAGCAAAAAATAACGCGCCATGAAAAATTGAAAAGTGAAACCTTTCTGCGAAAAAAATAAGCATTATTAAAATTCAAAAATGTGTCATTTATTAAACTTCTGCAATAGAATCAGTTCTGAAAAGCCTTTAAAAAATTGAAAATAAATTTTTCTTTCGTTTTCTTTGAGAAAAAGAGGTCGAAAAATTGCATGACGAAAAAACCAAAAAAAATCGATTTTGTTACCGTAATCCATTCAAAGGCGCGTATAGTGAAAATTATCATCTTCTCGCCACGAACAAAAATTACTGTAATTTTTCGAATTTTTCAAAAAATCATTATTTTTTTAATTTTTCGCAATTTTCGCGTTAAAACTCACCATTTCCTACGCGAATTTCGTTGAAATCCTCGAAAAACTCGCCATTTTTACATAAAAACGTTCGAAAATCCCATCGATACGTCGTGAAAAACGAAAAAAAAAAGAAGCTGATCAAAGCCGTCAGAAAAAATCTTTATTTATAGCACAACATTCTCGTTAATCCTTTTTTTTGCGGTTTGTTGATTCGTTTTGAGCGGCCACCAGTAATATTCGAAGAATTGCAAAATGAGTGTGGTTGTGAATTGGTACGGTCAAAGGTCCTACAACGAAGGCAAGGCTACCGTATAACCCGTCGATTGAAAGGAGATCCGTTATTAAAAAGAAGTCGAACGTGATGATGAAGAAGAAGAAGAAGTGCAGGTCATTGTAAGTTTTTTTTTTCCATATTATTATAAATTTTTCTGCTTTTTTCGGCCGCGCAATTGACAAATTCTGCAATTTTCGATATTAATGCGTCGAGCGTCGACGAGCGCCAACCGTTTCCAAATTTCCTTTCGCATCGGACCCGTCAGCGAATTGAACAAATGCGCAACGCAGAGCACCAGAAACATGAGGTTATAAGCGAGCACGACGCGAAACGAGCTGAGCCATTGGAGCGATGAATACGAGCCGAGTAGATCGAATGTCGTCATGCCTTGAAATAGAAAAATCAAATTGAATGGAATCATCAGTAAGTGCAAATTTCTTCTTTTTTTTCTCTCAGAAATGTCAAAAACATTGCGTTTTTCGAGAGTCTTCTCGCTCACCCAACGTGTTGACAATCACCGGCAGCGCCGAGCTCGCCACCAACACCAACGACGAGTTGATGATGAGCGCCGTCATCGACGTGTCGCGTCGAATCGGCCGAATCGAGCGAAGAAGCGGCAGCGAGTAGAGGCCGACGAACGAGGTGACCATCACGTAGACGATGATGAGCGTCTCGACGCACGCGCCGAACAACCCGAAACTGTGACGCGTGTGCACCTCGATGATCTGCGCGTATTCGGGAAGGCTTCGGAAGCCGAACAGCAATTTCAGCGTGTTGATCGCCACCATCATTAGGGCGATTGTCTGCAAATTGACGCAATTCAAAAATTCGACGGCACCTTTGCGCTCAACACCGCGACGCACAAATGCACAGCGCACACTACAGTAATAATCGACTACGCCCGGTTTGTTCTTCGAATTCGATGACAAAACGAGCAATTGACTCTAAATTACAATATTTTTGTGCGATATCACTCTGCAATTGTGCGTCGCGTGTTCCACACTTTTTGAGAAACAAAACAGAAATCAATAAATTGTTTCAATCGCCACACAAATGACAATCATCGTACCGTCAATATGAGAAGGACGGCGAGAATCATCGGGAATCGTAGACTCAATAATAGTTTGAGGATTCGCGAGTTTCGCGCGTTTCGCACATTTTCGGCCGCTTTTCGAAATATGCCAAATTGGCGAACTTTGATGAGATATCGACTCGGCTTCCACAGCGCTTCATCCGATTTCGAGCGTCGTTCTGCAAAAAAAAAATTTGTAAAAATAATTTTTTAATACATTTTATTTTACAAGCATCGTATTCCTCGAAATTCTCGCCATTCGCGTTTTTTTTTTCTTTCATTCAGCAGAATTTTCAAAAATGATAGTAGAAAAAATAATACCATCACTTGTTTAAAGAAAAAATTGTCTCATGGGTCTCGCGAGATCTCTTCATCATTTAATTACAGTACCCCCCATCTTTGCATTCGAAAAATGTCAAATTTTTGCATTTTTTGCTATTACCGTCGAGAAAAAAAAAAGAAAAAGAGCACTTTGAACATATGTGGACCATCGCACTTTTTTTCTTCAAGGCGCTAATTCAAATTTCAATTTGAAGTTTGGGAATTCGGGTACAAAAACCAAATTGGGAATACCGGAAAATTTGCGAATGTCGGCCATCGGCGTCGACGCGAGAAGCGGACTTCCAATATGAAGCGGCGATTGGAGATTGTAGTGATTCGTGGGTATCCAGCCTGAAATACGAAGAGAGGCTGATTGGACCAACAGAAAAGAAAATCACCATCAAATTCCAAATCCAAATTCTCGATCGGGTCGCGTTGAGTCTCGGAATAATATCGACAACGTCTCGACGACAGGCCATTCGTGCCCAAATATGAGTAGCAAGGTGCTGAAAATTTCAGAGTGTTCGGGCAATTCCTCGAATCACACACCAGCGGTTCGCTTCGCGATCATCGTCGTCGTCGTCGTCTCCGCATAATCATGTTTCCTTCGTCGTCGGCGAATTCGCGACGGCGACGCATCACCGCCAGCTTCGCGTATCAATCGCTCGTCCTCCGAGTCGAGCTTCATCTCCTCCGTCGAGCCCGACTCGATGCCACTGTCGCTATCTGAAACCCACGCACAAACTAGATCGCATTGATCGCCCAATGAATTCGACCGACCTTTTCGGAACTCATCGCCGCCGCCGCCGCCGACATTCTCGCGCTCGTCGACCTCGACGACGTCGACGCCAAAAAAGAATTCTCGAACGACGGAGAACATTTTGGCGAAGCCGTACGGCGTCGAGATGAGCAGAAGAAGCGCGCCGCTGAGCGAGACGCACGAATAGATCAACGGCAAATTGACGGAGGTGATCGAGAGGAACGACACCTGTAATTTTGAGACTTGAATTCCACAATCTCGGGGACTAATTAACACGGCTAATTAGCAAGGCAATTTCAATTTATTTTGAGAATTTAGACAATTTACCGGATACTTGATGATGGTGAGCACAATTTCAGCGAGACACAACAGGACGACGATGAACAGCGCGCTGATGGCCAATGTCTCGTAAACGCGTTGCGTGATTCCCTGCAACAACAAAAAAACGTCAAAATTGTCGATTTTAGGCCAAAAAATTTGAAAATTCGCTTTATTTTAATGATATTTTGATTGAAAATGGCGACTTTTTGTGCCAAATTCAAACTTGGCTGAAATCGAAGCCAAAATTCGAAATTTTGAGGCAAAAAAATAGAAAATTCAAATTGTTTGACCGGCTTTTTGAAAATTCGAAATTTGGTGCCAAAAATTGTAAATTCCCTTTTTTTTTTACTGAAAATGAGGAAAAATTGTCGATTTTAAGCCAAAAATGGAAAATTCAAATTTTTGACTGAAAAAAAAAAATCAAAATTGTCAATTGAAGACCAAAAAAAGAAATAATCAAATTTTTAGGCGGCTTTTCACGAAATTTAGGGCCAAAAAAATGTTCGAGTCAAATTTTAAGCAATTTAATGCCAAAAAAATGGTAATTTTTCGCCAAAATCGGCTCGTTTTTTTCAAAATTCGATCACTCACATTTCGATTTCGCGCATTCGAGAAGCCTTGCGATTCGATGAAAAAATACGAGAACGGCAATAGGACGAACAGCGAGAGATTCGAGAGTGTGAACACATAATTCCATAGGGAGCCGATCAGCGAATAGGAGAGCCATTGGAAATAATAATTGTGCTCGTACAATTGCAACAATTCGACGCCAATCACCGAGAATGGCAATAAGAGAAGCGAGCCGATCGAGACGCCCATCGAAATGCAGCACATCCAGACGCTGAAAACCGAAAATGCCGATTATTTCTTGTCAAAAATTCACATTATTTTCCAAATTAATGCAAATTCTCCCATTTATTTTCGAATTTCAGCAAAAATTCATCGAAAATCGCAAAAATCACTTTTTCGAAACAATTTTTTTTTCAATGTAATTGAAAATTTTTTTGCGCTCGAATTCAACAAAAAATCGCATTGTTTTTCACAAAATTTTCCAAAAAATTGACATTTTTGGCAAAATCGAACAAAATAATTGCATTTTTGTAATTTTTTTTTAGCTAAAATCGGCCAATTTTGGGCATTTTCACAAAATTTTTCCCCAAAAAAAATTGAAAAACCCATTTTTTTGGCAAAATCGCATTTTTTTCAAATTTAACGCAATTTTCAGATTTTCACAAATTTTTTCCCAAAAAAAAAACTGAAAAACTCAATTTTTTCGCATTTTTTTTTCAGATTTAACGCAATTTTCAGATTTTCACAAAAATTGTTCCCAAAAAAATTGAAAACCTCAATTTTTTTTGGGGGGGGGGAAATTGCATTTCTTTCAATTTCCCACAATTGGCTCAATCATTTTTTTTTTCGAACAATTGCGTTTTTCTGCTCAAAAACGCAAAAACTCACGAGACGCGATAGACGAAATAGTCCTCTTCGCCGGCATACAGCGCTTCGCGTTCGGTTTTTCGTTTGAGCCTCGCGATGACCATATAAGCGATGATGTACAACGCCATGAAGAGCCACATGCATATGATTTGTTGACGGACAAAATCATGAAACTCTTGCTCTTTGTCGACGAGCTTGTTCGTCAGCGGCGATTCGACGACCTCCTCGTAGATGTCGTCGTCGTCGTCGCCGACAGCTGTCAGCGTCCACCGCGCGATTCGCCACCAACCGTTCGACGCCATTCCGGCGGCCGCGGTTGCCGCATTCGCCAACCAGCTTGTGCTGCCCGATTCCGCCACTTTTATGTATGTGTGTGTTGGCTGATTTTCTGTAAAAAAAAACACTTTTTTGTCAATTTCTCGTCAAATTATGCGCATGTCCGCAAACATCGAGTCAATTTCATTACGTACAATTTCGAAATAATAAAAAATCTGCCATTTTTCCTCAATTTTTAGCAAATTTTCTCGCAAAAAAAAAACCAGAAATTCTCAATTTTTATTCACGTTTGCGTTCGAATTTCTCAAAATCACTTGAAAATTTTATGGAAATTGCCGTCAAAATGGCGCACTTCACACATTTTTGCAACGAAACTCAATTATTTCATTTTCGGCCTAAATTTCTCGCTTTTTTCCTCAATAATCTCACATTTCTCAGGTGGAAATTCAAAATCCTTGAATGTAAACGCGCGCAAAAAAAACGAAAGGCAAACAATTGTGAAAATGAAATGAAAATATCCGCGACAAAGGAGGGTAATTAAATAGGAACAAAAACAAACAAGAAGGCGATGATAAGACGATGAAAAGGGTTCAAATATCATTGGAAAATCGCAAAGTATCGGAAAATCGTCGATCAAAACTCATCGGCTCCTCTTTTTGGCGAGAAAATTGCATTTTTCGAACGCGCAAGGCCCAAAAAGCATGAATTTCAATGGAATTTTATTTTCCGGCTCGTAAAATCACAATTTAATTCAATTTTTTCTTGAATGAGAATTTCATAAAATCGACATTTTCAGGTCACTCGTCAAGCGAAACAAAAACCGGAACGATAATATCGCGCCCAATTAAGGGGGTCGATTGATGATGGTGTATTTGTTGGCGAATGATAAGATACCGAAAAGGACAAAGTTCAATTTGGCATTTCTTTTTTTCTCAAGGCGAAAAAAAAACGACGAAACAGAACAACTGGTTCGACGAATGACAGCTGACAACCGACGAATCAGTCACACTCCGTGGGATTTTCGATTTTCGCCGCCAACATTTTCAGATCGGCAAATTTGGGACAAAATTTGGCAAATCAAAATATTTGAAAAGGGAATTTTTGGAAAAAAAAATTGATTTTTCGAAATTTTCGAGCAAAATATCGAATTTTGGCGAAAAAAAAACGAGTTCTTCTTTGAGAAATTCGAAAAAATTGGTCAAAATCGAAAATTTCGCGAATTTTCTTTCAAATAACTCACGCAAAAATTGCGATTTTTTTTAATTTAAAAAATTATATAGATTTTTTCATCAAAAATGCGCTTTCTAGGTAAAATCGGCGAAAATTTCGATTTTTTATCAATAAAAAAATCGCAAAATCCAGATTTTCGCATTTTTCACCTAAAAATCGAATTTCTCTCCGTTGCAAAACTACCGTATACCTTAAAAAATCGATTTAAAACGCGAAACACCGACGAGAAAATCGAAACCAAATGTCAGTGGCGAGCGGCGAAATTCGACGTGTCCTAGAGGGAGACAGCAAATAAAAATTAAAGACTCAATTTCGCCGAAAAAATCACAAAAATCAAGCATTTCTGTTGGGGGAAAATTGAAATAAATCAAATTTTCCGGTAAAACTTGATGGGAATTTTGCAAAAAAAAAAACAAGCTAAAAAAATATAAAAATCGATAGGGACCATCGAAGGGAAAAACGGATCCATTTCTTAATAAAACTAGGGACCATCAAAATCAAGATTCAAAATTGTAGAATAACGCGCGTCGCAGGGTCAAAGTACAACCAACGCCTTTTACGACATCGAGAATGACGAGAGGAAGCGCGTGAGAGAAAGAGAGAGAGAGAGTGAGAGTGAATGTGTTGACTGTTGAGAGACGCAGACGGCGAGACGAAACAGTGCACACCGAATCGATAATAAATTGCATATATTTATATTAATTCGCGTCTCGACTCAATTCAATGGAGGGGCTGAGCTGGACGAGAGCACCTCGCGGCTCGCGACACACTGTGCGAGGTGCGGAGGGAGCCCGACGACGACGGCGGATGCTCTGGTGCAGCTCGTCGAGGTGTTCGCGCTTCAACTCAAAGTAAAAAAAAAGAAACAAAGCAAACATTTGTTTTCGTCAAAAATGGAGAAATCGTTGAAAATCGAAAAATTTCTTTTTTTTTTTACAAAAATCGTGGCGAGTTCTAGGAAAAATTGCAGCTTTTCTTTCGCAAAAATTAGAGAATGCTTTTTCAGAAATAAAAAATGGAAAAAGCATGTTTTTTCTTTCCTTTTTTTTGGTTGAGAATTTTCCCAAAAAAAGAAGAGCCGACATTTGCTCTTCAAATTATGCGCAAGTCCGCAAACACCGACAAATTCGCATTGCACAATTTTCAAACAAATAATTCAAAAATCACCGCTGAATATCAGAAAATCCTCAATTTTTCCAATTTTTAAATCATTTCTACATGAAATTTCTCAAAAACATTTAAAAAATTGCCAAAAAAGAAAGCATTCTGCATTTTTCTCTCCCAATTTTTGCCATTTTTCCTCTTCACCAAATTTTATCGCAAAAAAAAACTGGTGATTCTCAATTTTTAATTCATATTTGCGCTAATATTTCTCAAAAAACTATAGAAAATTCAACAAGTCCGCAAGCACCGCACACATTTTTCAACGAAAATTAATTATTCCATTTTTTTTCGGGTATATTTTGAAAAAAATTATTTTGCGAATCAAATATTCAATAAAAAATTCTAAACTATTATTGGAAATTCTAAAGTTGATTGATACTTTCTAAACATTTCTTTCTTTCTAATCTCGATAAACGCAAAAATACTTTTTAAAGTCATTTTATTCGAGTTAACTGATGGATCTATTCAGTGAATGTAAATTAAACAAAAACGACAAATTTTCATTATGCAGCGATGTCGTTTTTGTCGCAATAAGCGCTTAATTTTACTGAGGGGTACTGTAGATCGCGGGTCGATATTTCAAAAAAATTGGCACATGCTCCTTGAATATCGATTTTTTTAAAATATTTTTTATATTAAAATTTTCGTATTTTCACTCGTTTTTCGCGGATTTTTTTAAATAATTTAAACTTTTTTTTTGAGTAACACTTTTAAATAATAATTTCATATCGTTTTCGTTTTTTTTCTATTCCAAAACTGAATCGATTTTATTCGAATATTGTTTTAATTTAAAGAAATTGAATATTTCAGATCGTTCCATGGCTAATTTGGATAGGTTACGAAATAAGAAAAAGGCTATAGTAAGAAATACAATTTAAACAAAAAACAAATAAATGAATTTATAGATTGCACTGCTTATGAAAAAACGAATTATTTTGGTTTGGATATTGAAACAAAATGCATTGAATGCATCTGAAACAATTGAAGTGATCAAGAAACAGAGCTTCGATCTTTTTTGTGAAAAAGTCAACCGATTAGTAGATTGTGGTGGTATTGAGGTAAGGAAACAAGTAAAACAAGTGAATTTCTGCATAAGTAATGTAGAATAAATTAAGTTCGTGACCGGCGTTTCTAACAGCACGTTCATGGAACTTCTGAAGATATGCCGAAATCACGAAGGTCGAATCAATGCGACAATTCGATTGGCAGTTTTCTTAAAATACACAAGAGAAGGTTATTTTTTAGTTGTTTGTTAGTTTTTTACAAGCATTAAAATTATAAAATTTATAGGTATTAGCCAAAATCTTCTTGCGAAGGAAATTGGAGTTTCGCAATCAACGATTTCTCGACTAGTTAGAGATACAATCGAGGATATCGTCCAAGTTGCCGGAGAACAAATCCGATTGCCACAAAATCGAAGAGAATTAATTCGTCTGGAAGAAGCATTTATGAACTCTTCTGATCGAACTCCTCGTCGAAGAATTCCATGTTTTGCCATATTGGATGGAAAGCATTGGAAGATCGAGCATCCTGCGCATACAGGATCGTTAAATTATAATTATAAGTCGTTTTATTCATTTAATTCTCTTTTTTGTTGTGATGCAAACTTGCGTGTTATATATTTGCAAATCTCTGAGCTTGGAGTAAATTCGGACTCCCAAATGTTCAGAGATGGGCCTTTGGGAGCACTCCTCGAAAATGTAGCCACAATAGGTGGATATCGCCCGCTTCCGAATTCATCCATTATAATGCCTCCATTTATAATTGCTGATAACGGATTTGGACTATCTAAGTTTCTTATGCAACCCTATAGGCAGCTTTCCTTGACTCCAGAAAACATGCGTTTTAACGAGATTATGTCGGCAACTAGGGTGAAAATTGAAAATTTTTTTGGTGTGATGCAGTCGAAATTCCAGATTTTCAAAAAAGCCCTTAATATGGACCCGTCTTCTTCGCGCGCCCTCATTGTAGCACTTTCAGTTGTACATAACATATCACTAGGTGCTCCTCCCGATCTTCCACCTGACCACAACTTTCCCTTACTTCAAGACCCATACAGCGATGCCGAAGATCAAAGAACGGCATTAAAAAATTATCTTCTTTATCATGTTTAATGTTTATCTTTTTAAATTTAATTGTTAATATAATAAAAAAAATACTTAAAAATAATTTTCGTCCAACAAACTGAGAGAAGTCGTCTGCTCATTTCTTTTGCCCGTCGGTTGGAGATCCATGATGAAAGCGATCGCTTTCGCTTCGGCTTGAATTTGATCCAATTCAGGCCAATCCGCAACGTGGCTGGCCATGACCCTGCACAATCGGTCAAATTTACATTTGGGGGTTTCCTTGGCTTCCTCATCATTCGATCTAAGCAGCTGCTTGATTTCGCTGTTCGTCTCGCGCAACATACTCATCAGCTCATCGCTGTCTAAAACATACCCATAAAACTCCATTTTTTATTGCTAGAAACCTGATTTTCTTCGTTTAGCAGTCTTCGGACTATCCGAGGGTCCCCGCGATTCAAGCAACTCAATACTTTTATCACCGCATATGAAGGCACTGTAGTAAAAAAAAATTAACAAAAAACAGGTAAACTTACTTTTTAACTTGTCTTTTGTGTCTGACTCCATCCAAAAACTGTAAATATTCCGCAAACGGAAATGATGATTCCAATGTTCCAGTTCCAGATCGAGCATTTTGGATTCGCAACACATGTCTATTGAAATCGCGCGTTATCGAATCCCACAATTTCCAAGCCGTCATACCTAAAACTTCAATTTTACCGATAGTGGTTTTGAAAATACCATTTGGTCTTCCGGCGCGGAGAAATTTCTTGCACATGCTTTCGATATTCTGAAAGACCTTAAGCTTCAATTCTCTCCTGTGGTATTCTTTAATAGATGAGTCCCAAATACTTGGGTACTGCTCAACGGTCTTGATGAAGTCCACAATAAAGTGTTGTGGAAACTAAAAAAATTTAATTAATTTATAAAATCCAACAATTCATTTTTAAATACTCACCGCTTCATATCCGTCATCTACAAGTGGCTTTCTCCTTCTCGTGCGCTTAGCTTCTTCACGCTGTTCAGCAATTGGCAAATTTCTTGGCCCATGTGCCTCCACCACGTCTTCGACCAAAGAGTCGTTTCCTTCATACTCAGCGAATGACATGCTTCAAAAAGGAAATATATGCACAAATTAGTAGTTTTTATGAATATCACCAAGTGTTACTCAAAAAAAAGTTTAAATTATTTAAAAAAATCAGCGAAAAACGAGTGAAAATACGAAAATTTTAATATAAAAAATATTTAAAAAAAAATCGATATTCAAGGAGCATGTGCCAATTTTTTTGAAATATCGACCCGCGATCTACAGTACCCCTCAGTAAAATTAAGCGCTTATTGCGACAAAAACGACATCGCTGCATAATGAAAATTTGTCGTTTTTGTTTAATTTACATTCACTGAATAGATCCATGAGCCCGAAATGGAACACGCCGTGATAGAACTCATGCAGATGAGGTCCCCATTATTGCGATGGCCACAAGTGTTCTCATTCGATTTTTCGGATCTCAAAAAGACAATCGTGGAAGCCTGTCGATCAGCAGCTTCTTGACAATCTTTATTTATCAATGGGCTGTCGAATTTTTGGCTTATGGACGCCCAGCTAGCTATTAAATGTTCATTTTCTTTCAAATTCCAACTCTCTCGATGCCTTTTTCTGGGGGGTTTTTCTATCAAGTGGGCATATAGTGGTTACGTGGAGCACTGTATTACAGCCGAGTTCTATCGCGGCGAGTTTCGGCCTAAAATTTCTCAATTTTCCGTTCGATACAATAAATTTCGCGAGGGAATCAAACGCGACGCGTCGATCTCGACAATTATTCAACAATTGATTTATTAATAATGAATCTAGTAGGAGGTGGAAATCGAAAATTCAAAACAATCAACGCATCGATATATGTTAATGCGGTTAAATGATACGAGACAAAAAAAAAATGGAGAAGAAGAAGAAGCAACAACGATGGGGGAAAAAAATTCAACAGAAAATGTACAATGTTGGCGGATTTTTTGCGATCACACGAGAGGGCGCGAATCTAAAAATAAATTTAAAATGAAACGACGTCGATGCAAACGGGTTAGTGGGGCCGATTATGTGTACCAATTCAAAAGGGACATGATCAAAAAATTGTCTCTTTTTTTCGGCTTTTTTGAAATGTATTTACCAAATGAATGGGTTTTGTTGGCGTTTCGGCGGCATTCGACATTTGTGCACAAAATCGTTGCCGAATTTCGAGCCGTACCACACGAGGAGCTCGTCGTTGATTTTGATCGGCTTGATGACACGATAGAACACTTTTCCGTTGATTTGGAAGGCCAGCATGTTTTGTTCGGCTTCATCTGGAACAAAAAAAATTCTCAAGCTTGGGATATTTGCACAAATCGCCCCTCAATTTTTCGATTTTTGCTGGATTTTCAATTTTGTTTCCAACAATTTTGGTAAAATTCGTGAAAAAAATGCAATTTTTGATTGGGATTTTTTGAAATTTCGCGCAAAAATCACCAAGTTTTTCAACTAGACAAAAAAAAAACTTTTTTGATAAACTCAAAAATTCAAAATTATCCGAGGAAAATGCAATTTTTGCTTGAAAATTTCCACAATTTCTCCAAAATACTCACAAAATCTTTCATTTTTATTTTAAAGCATCATATTTTTCTTAAAATTCCATTTTTGAATCGAAATGCTTCAAAATTTTGTCGCGATTCTCATAAATCCATCAATTTTTCCGCTCAAATTTCAAATTTGTGGAAATTCCCATTTTTCAGACTTTTATTTCATTGAAATGCCGCAAAAATTGCGAAATTTCAACTTTCCAGACAAAAATTGCCACATTTTTCTCAAAAATTTCCAAAAAAACCCCGCATTTTTCGCCAATTTTATAATTTTCTTCAAAAAAAAAAGCGCTCACGTCTCGGACTGTTGATGTATCGCAACCAATTGGATTTTTCCGGATTCGAGCCGTCCACATAGATCAATTTTCCGTCTTTTCCGTTGATTTCCCACGCGTAGCCGTCCATGTGGAATTCCGATTTTTTCGCGCACCTCACACCTTTGTATGGTCCGAACACCATGCCGACCTGACGGAAATTGGCGTCAATTATTTTTTTTTTTATTTTGCGGTTTTCTCGTTTCGAAAATCTACCGGAATGAAGCTGTTGGCGACGACGCCGAGACCGGCGCCCGGAATTTTCGAATCGGTGACGGCGAACAGCGGCGGAAGCGTTCGAAGCGCGTACGGCAGACCCGATTTGTCGCTGTCCGATGGAATCTGACAAATTCAACTTTTTTCGATTTTTTTCGTTGAAAACATATTAATATTTGGGCAAATTTGATAATTTTTTTTTCGAATTTTCGCCAAATATCTCAATTTTTTCACAAAAATTGCTCATTTCAGACTAAAATTCACGAAATTGCGCAATTTCAAATTTTACTTGGATAAAAATTTGAGGTGAGTTTTAAAACTCAAATTTAGCTCAAAATTTTCAATGTTTCACTTTTAAAAAATGAGTAATTTAGAAAATTTGATGTTTTTGATCGATTTTTTCTATAAATTCCTCAATTTTTCACAAAAATTGATAATTTTTGGAATTAATGCTAAAATCAAACAATTTCTTTGAAAAATTTATAAAATCATGCAATTTCATGAAGAAAATTCGAGTTTCGTTCCGATTTTTTGGTAATTTTCTCAATTTTCCACAAAAATTGCCAAAAATCAAACATTTTTTTTGATAAATGCTTATTTTTGAACAAAAATTCCTAAAATTGTGCAATTTCAAATTTTCCTTGAAGAAAATTAGAGTTTAGTTTCGATTTTTTGGTAATTTTCTCAATTTTCCACAAAAATTGCCAAAAATCAAACAATTTTTTCGATAAATGCTTATTTTTGAACAAAAATTCCTAAAATTGTGCAATTTCAAATTTTTATTGAAGAAAATTAGAGTTCCGTTTCGATTTTTGGTAATTTTCTCAATTTTTTACAAAAATTGCCAAAAATCAAACAATTATTCGAAAAATGCTTATTATTTGCGCCAAAATAAGCAATTTTGCTTGTCAAAATTTCGATTTTTGCGACATCTCATTTTTAAATTTAAAAAAAAACCTTATCCTGAATGCGATAAAGCGGATGCAATTTGCAGTAGGGTCGATAAAACTGATTACAGCGGTCACAATCTGAAAGTGGAATCGCGTTTGATATGAAATCGAAATTTACAAATTAAAAAAAAATTACGAATGTCGAGATCGTCGTTGTAATCGCGATCGCTGATTTTCGTGCCGAGACCGTTCACCTCGGCCTCGGCGATCTCCTGGATTTCGGTGAACAATTTCGGATCGAGTTTGCCGCCGGCCGGATGCGATTGAATACTGATCGCGCCGTCGCGTAAATCGACGCACACTTTGTATTTCAGCTGGAATTTTTTCGGCATTCTCAACAAAAAAAAATCAAAAAAAGAAAACCTCGTCTCGAATGTGTTCGATGGCCGCCTCGGGGTCACATATTCCCGGAATTTGCACCTGCGTCGCCATGGCTGCCTAAAACGCCTGCAACGAGAACGAATTGATTGATAAATGGTTGGGCAGCACGCGCGGACGAGGAAAAGTTAGGCCACGCGGTCGCGGCCACTTCGTAGTAAGCAAATTGTTTGCGGAAAATGTCACAATTTCGCCACATTTTTTCAATGAAATCCATAGATTTAAATTTTCTCTTCGAATTCACAAAGAAATTTGAAAAAATCCACAGACTTTCACCAAAAAAAAACATTGAAAATTGCAATTTCGGTGAACAAAAAAAAAATAGTTCGTGCAAGTTCAAACTTCGGTGTACACACAATACATCATACTTGACGGCATTTTTCACGTTTACCATTGAAACGTTCAAAATCCAATGAAAATGCTTTATTCCGAAAAATTTTCGACAAAAATTAATAAACGCTTCCCATTTGGTATCGTTTTCCGGGGAAACAGCGATCAAGGCACGCCTGTTTGAAGCAGCAAACCTGGCCGAAAAAATGAATGTAAGAGGAGTTCTGGAATTCGCAAAATCACCTGATCTTTCGGGAATTCGGAGAAGCTGCATTTGCCCGACAGCGAGCAGCAGGCGGTCTTGAACGCCGAATCTGGAAAAAAAATGCGAAACAAAAATTGAGCGAAAATAGAAATGGCGCTCACAATTCTCGATTGTGCACGGCTTCGGCTCGGTGCCGTACTTGCAGAACAAATTCAGATATTTGTCGAAATTCGGGCACGCGGCAATCATGCCGAGAATCACAAGAAACGCGATGAGGAAACGCATCTTCTGGAACCAAACTGAAATCGTCGGCGTTTCGCTGCCGCCGCGACAGCTGTCGCCTCGTGTCAGTTGTTTATTTTTATTTTTTTTGGTTTTTCTATAAAATGAACGCCGACAATCAAGAAAACAACGAAAAAAATCAGTTTAAAAATGAACAAATTAAATTTCACCAAAAAGTGGTGCAATATGTCGTCAAGTGTTTCATGACTACAGTAACCCCAAGTATAACTTCAAGTCTAAAAGTTTTTCATTAATTTTAGATGATTTTTTGTAGGGAAAAAAGACGCTTAGAAAATTTTTAAATAAAACATGACAAATAAAAAATAATTTTGAGCAATATTCAAAGAAATCACGACAAAATATTTAAAAAAAATGAAAAAAAATATTAAAAATCTTTATTAAGCAAAAAAACAAAAACAAATAAATACTCTACTTAATTGATATGCGTTTTAAAATTTGAAAGAAAGACAAATATAAAGGGACCCGAAAGTGATTTTTCTGGAAAAAATAAGACATTTGCCAAAAAAAAAGAAACGAAGCCAGCCAATTCATGTCGACTGATCCACTTGATTTTTCGGCGGCTCAACAATGAAATTCTGAAGTGCGGCCATTTGGGACAAAAATTGAAAATTGAACGGGAATCCCGGATGGTGTTGATGGTGGTGGTGTTGGTGCGACGATGGTGACGGCGGTGGCGGCGGCGCGGCGAACATGAACGGATTGAATCGCTGATAGGGGAACATCATCGGCGCGAACAATTGCGGCACGATCGGAGCCGGCATCGGGCTCGTCGACTTCAGCTTTTTCGCCGGCGGCGAACTCGACTGCGACGACGAATCGTCGGCGAGCTCGTCGGCCGACGGCGATATCCTTTTGCGGTCCGATGATTCGCGGAAACCTTTTGCGAACGGGTTATGCGCGATTTTCAGCGATGTCACTGATTGATTCTGCAATTAAAAATAATAATTGGAAATTACAAATTTTAAAACTAAATAAAAAATTTGAGGATCGTTTTTATAAAGTTGAAATTTTCATTAAAAAATAATTTGGATTTTAGGCTTGAAATTATTGCGAAGATGTTTGCGGACAATGCGCACTTAACGCAAAAATGCACAGAAACGCCAAAATAAAAATTGCATTATTTTTTAAAATTTGAGATTTTCACAAAAATTTCAGGCTTGAAATTGTCGCGAAACGGTGTTTGCGAACAATGCGCGACACCCGTCGCAAAATTGCACACAAATTCCAAATTTTATATAAAAAAATATCTTGAAGATTACTTTTTGGGTTGAAAATTTCCAAAAAAAAATATTTTAGGCTTGAAATTGTCGCGACGACACGGTGTTTGCAGACAATGCGCGACACCCGCCGCAAAAATGCACACAAACGCCGAAATCAAAAAAATTGTATTATTTTTTAAAATTTGAAAATTTCAAAAAAAATTATATTTTAGGCTTGAAATTGTCGCGACGACACGGTGTTTGCAGACAATGCGCGCGCGCGCGACACTTGACGCAAAAATGCACACAATCGCCCAATTTCGTTGCTACGCTTTTCATTTTTTTTGTTTCCTTTGCATCGATGACAAAACCAACCTGATAAGCGGTGACCGCGATGAACTCGGTGTGCGGGATGCGCGCGACGGCGACGAGTTGCGCGCGACTGTGTTGCGGCACGACAAACGGCGAGTCCGACGGCGAGACGAACACCGACAACACCGGAACGTATTTGTGCATCGAGTGTAGATAGATCTGCAATCAGACCGAAAATAACCAATCGCCCCTCGATTTATGGGACATCGATCAACTCGCCGACGATAACAATCAGCCGCCGACAAGTTCATCCGTCAACGACGTCGTCATCCGGAAATACGTGACGACGTCACATGGGTCCCTTTTTGTTGTTTCTTCAAGGGCTCCCCCCCCCCCTCCTAGCTCTCATCATCGCCTACCCCACTCACATGTGATCCGCACGTGTCCATCGCGTTGTTCGTGATTTTGAGCCGATCGAAATTCACCGGACCCGCCATCCATTGTCGGCCCGTCATCACACCATCGGCGTGCCACACCTTTTTGGGTGCGGGCGACGCGTCGCCGGCGCCCGACGCCGTCCACACGCCATTGGCGAACTTGTAGCGCATGCTGTCGACCTGCTCGATTTGCAAGACGAGCGCGTAGAGCACGTCCGGCTCGAGGCCGCTCAACTCGTACTCGAGTTTCGGGAACATTTTTCTGCAATCAATTTTCATTCTCTTGAAATTCAACCTATGCGCCTTTAAATTGTTGGTGGCAATATTATAAAAAAATTGTTTGAGCTTACGCGCCTTTAAAAAAGCAAATTCAAAAAAGTGAAAAATTGTTGAACCAATGCACCTTTAAATTGTGACATGCACCTTTAATATAGCTAGGGGAAAAAATGCTATACACCTTTAAATTGGCAAAATCAAATGTGTGAAAATTTATTGAAGCTATGCGCCTTTAAATAAACTTCCATGTGCCTTTAAATATACAAAATCGTATAAGCATGATAACTGGTCAAACCTCGGCGCCTTTAAATAACGAGAAGAAAAAAGCTATGCGTCTTTAAATAGGCCAAATCAAAAATGTGAAAATTTGTTGAACCTATGCGCCTTTAATAAAACTAGAAAAAATTCCATGTGCCTTTAAAAAACAAAATCGAGGACTTCAAACAATCTATGCGCTTGTGAGTCTGCAAAATCAAATATGTGAAAAATATTTCGAACCTATCTATGCGCCTTTAAATTCCCGGATTTTCTGAAACACAAAACCAAAATGCGCCTTTAAATTGACAAAATCGACTATTCGAAAACGTTTGAAATTACGCGCCTTTAAATTACTCGAAAAAAAAAATGTTATGCGCCTTTAAATCAGCAAAATCATATATGTGGAACTTTGTTGAACCAATGCGCCTTTAATATAACTAGAAAAAATGTTATGCACCTTTAAATCACTTGAGAAAAAATTCTTTTAAATCAAGATATTAAAAAAAACAACACCAAATAAAAATTGGCATGCGCCTTGAAAATAAAATGACCAAATTTCGAACGAACCTTCCCGTCTTGGTGACGACCATTTCAGTGGTGTGTTTGGCGAAATTGCGCCATAATTGATCCTGCCGATCGGTGAGTCGAATCACAATCTTCTCATCGTCGGATGTCATTCTGCAAATCGAAGAAGGATGAAAATCGTGCTCTCAAATACGAAGAAGAAAAAAAATTGAAAGAAAATTTTTGACGACTATCAATCCAAGGGCGCACACGAATGGATCTCTCGCGCGGGTGTGCCGCACTAGGCTCCGCCCATTTTCCACGGCCACGCCCACTACCGTAGTCGTACGCGCGCGCGCAAAAAAAAACAAAGAGCCGCCGACGACGGTGTTGCGCGCGATGATGTGATACGCATGCCGACCCCCGTGTGGTGATGATGATTCGCACCACCACCACTGAAACCCAATAATCGACGAAAAATTGCGGATTTTCGAAAAATTCTTGAAATTGTGCATTCGCACCTACCGTAATCCAAATTGATTTAAAAAAATATTTTTTTATTGATAAAGGGGTAGCCTATTCTACAGTATCCATTCATATGATCAAATTTCTTAAAGAGGTAGTATTAGTGTCCAGCAATCTACAGTAATACAACAAGAGTTAGCTTTAAGAGGATTACTGTAGATTAAAAAAGAAAACACAGAAAAAAAAAATTTTAGTAAAAATATTTCTACCGTAATCCAAACAGCACTCCAAAGAGTACTTAAAGGGGTACGATAAATGAGATTAAATGGGGTTGACGACAAATTGCAGACAATCAAGCGTTTAAAGGGTGGTGACCAAATGAAATCCGCAAAACCCAAAAAAAAACAAGCCAAATGCGGTGAACAATAGAGATAAAGTGCGATAGCGACGGGGACCACCACCAACCATCACCGCATTTTATGGTCCCCTCTCTCGATCATAACAGCGAGAATCCGATAGGCACCACCGGGGCGGCTGTAAATCAGGCCAATCGATTTGTTGACAAAATTCACATCATATATCAAAAATCGACAACAAATAATTCCGCTTAATGTTGATGATGTGCAAAATCGAAAAAAAGCGAGAGGTGCCAAAAAATCTACATTGCTATTTCGGCGCGGCCTAACAAGTTCGCGCTGGGACCCCCCATCCTTCTGATTCTTATCATCGTCACATCTCAATTTGTCAAGGTGCACATTGTAAAACCAAAACAACCGAATCGGGACGGGCCGGGTCGGATCGGATCGGATCGGATCAAGATAAAAAACAACAACAACAATGAGCCACCGCGAATTTCGCAGCTTTCACCTACCGTAATCCAAAATCGGCCGCAAGTCATTAAATTCGCATAAAACGCGCATATCAATTAATCGAAACAATACGATTCAGACTTATCTATATGTATATAAATCTATTATCATGATTAAACTCCCCAACGCGACCGCCAACACGATTGCGATTCGCCTCACCAACGTGTGTAAATTCGAGAGCCGTGCTCGTGATCTGGCGCGTCGGCTCCGCGCGCGAGCCGCCTTTCATCCGATTGCATAATCCAACAGCAGCCGAACCAAACCGGCGAGCCTCATCATCGCTATACGAGCCGACGAATCGTTTTCCTGTTTTATTAGACATTCATTAACAACATTACAAAAATTAACAACTCTCGATGGTCGCCTAGGCCTAGCGATTGATGATAATGTTTCGGATGGCCTGTTGCCGCATTTCGGAAGTGTGCGCCGAATCCACCTGAAAACAATTCGCTAAAAAAAAGAGGGTTACTGTAACAGTAGAGTACTACAGTACCCAATGCAAATTTTTGGTAAGAAAAGCAAAAAAAAACAGAAATTGTTGGACGAAATGCCAGAAAAAAAAAAACAATTTCAGTGGTCCCTCTTTTTCAATTTTCCGCAGTCGCGTGAGGTCTACAATCAAGAAAAAACTAAATTTTTCTTCTCTTTTTGTTTCAGTTAATTAGTCGAGCAAAAAAAAAGTCAATTTCGAAAACCAATAAAAGCGGCCTGAGGGCCGATCGAAGCGAATTGAACAACTCGGGAAACACGAGCTCCTGTTGCGCCAACATCTGCTTGATTCGGTGACGTTCCGTCGCCTGATTGAAGCACGCCGGACAATTCTCGGCGACGACGGGCAACTCTAAATCGATTTTGAAACAAATAATAATAATAATATACATGTAGGCGACTCACTTTTCTCTTCGGCAAACGTTCGAAGCGCCTTCTCGCGTATGAACACCAGCGGCCGAATGACGCGAAGGGCGCCGTCTCTACAAAAATTCGGATTCGGGGATGAGAAGAAAAGAAAAAGGCCATCGGCTCAACTCAACTCACTTCGTCTCATACTGCGCCTTCATCGTGCTCAAATTGCCGTTCTGAAACGCGGCGATGAAAAAACTCTCGGCCAAATCGTCCAAGTGTTGTCCCATCGCCAGCACGTTCCATCCGTGATGTCTGCAAAAGCAAATCGCACACACACACACGTTTTCCATTTTTGCTCGTTGCTCACTGAGCCGCCGCCGCCAGTCGACCGCGCTTCATTCGACTGCAAAACGCGCAAATCGAACGCAGACCGCCGACGCGTTTCGCCGCGCCGATGATGTCCTGCTCCTCGTAGAAATAGTCAATGTTCAAACGTCGACAATAATCGATAAGCGGCCTCGGATTGTATTCGGCCGATCCCGGATCGATTGTGATGGCCCCAAGATCAAATGAGGTGCTGAAAATCGAAAACAAATTGACAATTATTCAATTTTCCTGCGTTTTTTTTCCAACAAATTTCCACCACTTCGCCATTTTTCTTCCCAAATTTTGATATAATCTCGTCATTCCATCGCCCAAAACAAAAAAAAAAGCAAAATTGTCGGTCGTCATCTCAACATCAAAACCAAGTGCGAAACATGTCGGCGTTTTGATCCGACCCCCGACACCAGGCTCGTGCCTTGGTGCTGCCACACCAATATCAAAGACACCACAAGGTGGTGCCGCCCGCCTCATCCGGAAGTCAGTCGAACGAGGTGCACCTCCCCCCCCTCTCCTGAGGTGATGATCGACGGCACACGCGGCCGCCTTTTCAAAAACTAAAAATGCGCCAACCTTCTCGCTTTTTGGCACCTCTGCTGATAGAAATGCAACAAGTGGAGAAGCGAGAGCGAGTCTTTGCCGCCGGACAGACAAACCAGCACTTTGTCGCCATTCTGAACATCATTCTTCTTAAAACCCCCCAAAAAAAAATTGAACAACCTTGATCATCTGAAGCTCATGTATCACATCCGTCATCTTCTTGTACATTTCCAACGGCGGCTGATGCCACGCCTCCTCATTTCGCTTGCCGTCAACTCGTCTCACCACCACTCTTCGATTCCAATCCTCAGTCAGTCGCACCTCGCGAGCCTCACTCTCATCACCGATTTCGCCGGGAATCCCTTTGGGTCGAGTCAGCGGACACGTTGGAGCCTCATCGAGCTCCTCCTGCTCCTGCTCCTCCTCCTCCTGATCTTCCGGATCCTCATTTTCCACTCGACCTCCTATCGGCTCTTCCTCGTCGACACGCTCATACTCCAACGGCCTGATGATACAGTTGCTCGTGCTCACCGCCTTCTCAGCCAGCTCAATCGGGAGCACGAACCATCGCAAGTCTTCGTACTCCTTCCCAATCGCCAGCCTTCCATCAGGTATCTTCGACAATTCCACAGGCACCTCGAGCTTCTTGAAATGCTCCAACAGCTCGTCGAGATCTGGTCCAGCTTCGTTCTCCATCTCCTTCGTCACTATTCCGTTCGCGGTGAATTTCGCGTAGCCGAGCCAACGCCGGCCGTGGAACACTCGCTGATTCTGATGGTGCCATTCGCCGGTCTCGCAATTCACTTGGTACAAATGCAAAAAGCGTCCCGCGTTCTCCGCGACAAATTCGAGACAATCGAGAATTTTCGACAAGCGGCGAGGGCTGCAAAAAATTCGAGTGAACTGTTAAATTTTTGTGCGCAAAATAGAAAAAAAACCACCAAAAATCTGAACTTCATTTCTTTAAATTTCCTCCAAATCTTCTCCAGAGGCAATTTTCAGATAAAATAATTTTTCGCTCAAAAACACACCAAAAAATATGGGGGGAAAATTTTAAATAAAAAATTCCACCGTCTACAGTACTCAATGTCACTGCAAGACCCAATCGTAAATTATATATGCGCCTTTAGTTGAAATTACTGTATTTAATTTTCTTTAAACGATTTTTCGAAAAAAAAAACGATAAAAAAGGACAGCTGACAAGGGAAGTCATTTTACCTCCCGTCTTAAGATTTTTTGTAATTTTGCACACATAAACTAGAAGGTCTTTTGGGTGTGTTCACAAAATTCCAGCCTGCACTGGGGGGTTTCAAGCGAGTTATAGCCATCTGAAAATTCAAGGTGTTTTTTCCAATGTCAGCAATCATTTGGGCAGGGGGTTACGCATACGCCTCTTGGGGCCCCCGTTGGGCAGCGATTCCACCAGGGGGACACTTTTTGGACGAATAGGGAGACACAAAACAAAAATCGTCCACGCTAAATTGAGGGTGATGCGTAATTGGAGTGTCGTACTCATACGGTAAAAACGGTTTTGGGAACGCCCGTGCAACCTCGCTGTTTAAGCCAAAAACCAACCACGGTTCGTCATTTTCGAATCACTGATAATTTCATTTAAAAAAAAAGGCCCCCTGGGGAAGGAAAAACTCTGGTAACTCAAAACCAATCGTATTCGACAAAATTCGGCTCCGAAATTAATCTTATCCGATTGGTATTTCTACGAATAAGATTGGAAAATTGTCGAATCCGATTAGTTTTTTGGGTATTTTCGAATACGATTGGTAATTTGTCGGAACCGATTAGATTTTCTTCGAATCCGTTTTGTTTTAATATTTCAATTCGAATCGGATTCGACAAAAAACCAATCTTATCCGTAGAATTACCAATCGGATACGAAAATACCCAAAAAAAAACCAATAGGATTTGACAATTTTACAATCTTATCCGTATAATTTCCAATCGGATAAGGTTAATTGGTTTTGAGTTACCAGAGAAAAGCACGAACAAAAAAAAATCGAATACCCGAAAAAATACGGAAACGAGATTCGCGTGAAACCGGGCCGCAAAAATTCGCGTTGCGAGTATTCGGCGTGCCGCCGCAAATGCGTTCGATCGAGTCCGCCGTCCTCGCGAAGCGCGTCGACGATTCGCGTCGACGTCGCCGCGTCGATTCCGAGCAATCGATGCGCGTACGGTCCGGCGCACATGCAGCCGGCACGCGTCTGAATTCCGAACGCGTCGTTCAACAACGCCGCAATGTAATTGTGATGGAAGAATTGACGCGTCGCGCGGCATCGCACCAAAAACGAGAACGTCGCCGATCGTCTCGTCGTCGTTCTCGCGCCGAGCACCACCAAATTGCTCATTCGATCGAGGCGCTCGACCATCATCTGCACCAGCTCGCGTTCGAGCTCCTCGATGCGCTCGACGCCGATGCTTCGTTTGAGTTTCAACGCCATCGCGAGACGAACGGCGCCGACGGCGTCGCCGGTGCCGCCCTCCTCGCGATGCTCCGCCTCTTTGAGATACCATTGACGGTCGGCGTTGACGAAGAACACGGTGCCGCCGCCGTGGCGTTTCGGCGATTCGGCGGCGATCAGCGATTTTTTGACGATCAGAACGCCCGGCGAGCCGACACCGCCGGGAAATTTGTGACCCGAGAAGAACACCGCGTCCAGCGGCTCGTCGCCGTTCACGCTGATCGACGTGTACGGCGCCGCTGACGCGTAGTCCCAAATCGAGATCACATTGAATCTGTCGAGAAAATTTTTGTTTGTAATCGTCCAAAAAAAAAATTCACTTCCTCAAAATCCTCGTGATCGCGACGACGTCCGACCGAATGCCGGTGAGATTCGAGCACGCCGTCAACGCGGCGACGATTCGCGACGTCGGATTCTCGTCGCGAACGCGTTTCGCGACACGCGCGACGTCGTCGACGTCGATTCGACCGCTCGCGTCCTCGCCGACGACGTGACATCGCCGAGTGGCGTTGCGCCACGGCAACAGATTCGAATGGTGCTCTTGAATCGAGTGAATCACATGCTAAATATGCATTTCGAGATAATTTCACAATTTTTGTTCATATTCATTTCGTTTTAAACCAAAATTTGACTACCGTATTCTCTTCGATGTTCATGAGGTGTAGAAGAAGCTCGACAGCGGCTGTCGAACCGCTACCGGTGAATATCACGTCGTCGAGATCGCCGGCGCCGGTGAGCGCGCGAATTTCTTGTCTGAAAAAAATAATGGATAGAATTTGCAACAAAAAAAAATTCGAAAATCATTGAACTCAATCGAAAAATTGCCCAATTTTTGGCAATTTCGATGATTTTTATCGAAAATTCCAACATCACCTGGCTTCGTGCATGAAAAGCGTCGTCTGCTCGGCGGTGAATGTCACTGAGCTGTGCGTGTTGCCATAAAACGGCAAAACCTCCTAAAATCGTCAAGTTGAGTCGGATAAAATTGTCGAAAATCCGAACCTGTTGAATGTAATTTTCAATCGTCGAAAATGCTCGAGCACTCGCCGTGTAATCGCAATAAATTACTAGAAAAAAATTCGAAAAATTAAATATTTTCTTTTAAAAAATTCTAAAAATTCGATTTTTATTTAATAAAAACTCGAAAAGCTCGTTTAAAAAATCAAAAATTTTAATTTTCTTGAAAAAAAATTCAACTAATATTTTTAAAAATCGAATTAAAAAAAAAACTCAAATTTTGTTTTTAAAAAGTTATAAAATTTCACCTTTTCTTTTAAAAAATCGAAAACTTCAAATTTTCTTTTAAAAAATTCAAATTAAATAAAAAAGAACTTGAAAAACTCAAGTTTTGCTTTTAAAAATCCAAATTTTCAACTAATCTATAAAAAAATTCGAATTTTGTTTAAAAAAAATACGGAATTTTCAAATTTTCTTCAAAAAATATTGAAAAATTCAAATTTTCGTTTTAAAAAATTAAAAAAAAAAATTAAAAATTTGAATAATTCAAATTTTGTATGACAATAAAAAAAGAAACCAACTTTTCCGCCATCCAAATGGTCCCCGAATGCTCATTTCGCTTCCAATCTCATCGCTCCTCAAAAACCGAATCAATTCGGAGCTCGATGAGAGTTGAGGCTCACGAGCGGGACCATCGGGCACCGACTCGCCAAATTTTCGGCTCATTCTGCAATTTTTCTCCCATTTTTTTTCCACCAAAAAAAAATTCAATAAAAAAAGAAGAAAAAAAAGTTGAGGAAATCTAGCAACCATATTATTTATAAGCACGATATTTTTACAAATTTTATACAAATTTTGAATTGAAAGACACAAATAAATCGAAGATTCCTCAAAATTCCATCGGCGTCGACGATGGCGCTGCCGATGCTGTCGGCATTGTCGACGACGATTCGTCGGCATCCTCGTTTCTCATCTTATTCTTCTTCTTTTTCTTCTTCTCCTTTTTATGCTTCCGTTTGCGCTCTTCATGGTCCAAAATGTCTGCAACACTTTTTTTAAAGGCGCATTCTTCAAATAATTGACATTTGATATTTTTTAAAGGCGCATGATGCGTGGAATTCTAGAAAATCTAGTAAAAACCAAAAAATGCCGAAAATTGAAATGGGTTTTTGAGGCGAATTCATCCATACCTCGTCCGGCGACCCTCTGCTCCAACGACGATCGAATTCTGCCCATCACCGGATGCTCATCCATCACCCAGTTGATGTCGACCTCACGCTTCTTGTCAAACAAATGCCGATAGCGCTCGTCGACGGGTCCCGTGCTCAATTTGAAGCCCTGCATCGACGAGCTCGGCAGCGTCGTGATCTCCTTGTGAATCGGCGGCTTGTCAACGAGCGCTCTCAGCGAGCTCGCTTCCTGAAGCACATTGAAACTCAGATTGCCGTAGAGGTGCGGCAGAAACGACGACATCTCCTCGCGTAGGCGTCGCGGATTGAAGAGGCCGCTGGAAAACGAAACGAAACCAAATTGATCGATCGGAATTTCGTTGAGAATCACTTACTGGCATAGTTTTCCTAAATCGTACGCTTCTAATAAATCAATGCTTCCATTGATCTCGCTTTTCGCTAAAATTCAAAAATGTGAAAAAATCAAAATTTGACCAAAAAATGGGAAACTCACGAGGTAGTTCGAGTTGAAATGTGTGAAACGGCGTCACAATTTGTCCTTGTCCACTTTTCAGCGAAATTTTCGTTTTCAGCGAGCCCGTCGTCGGACCGGCATCCATTTCTGGACAACAATTGAAAATAAAATCGACAAACGCGCCAGCGTGCACCAAAACCGCGTCAGCACCCCATTATCGGCGTGTTTTGCGCGCGCCCAATTCAAATACGCCACCCATCGCGTCAACTGTGGGTTGGCCGCATGGCGTAGCGCGTTCTGTTTGCACCGTGTGCGCGACGTGTCGCGAGTTCGCGTCCGGCCCGCAAAACCAATGACGACACAAACCCCATGTCCTGAAGAGAAACACCATGCTAGCATGATTAGTCTTTCCGAGGTCGGCGTTTTCCATTTTTCGCTCAATTCCAGCCAACAATTGAATATTCATGAGAGCCTCTGAATTCAATCGCGCCGTCAGTCAGACTCGGCAGTCTGTTCGCGTGTCGCCCATGACAGTCAGCTACAATCAATCCGTGTCCACCTCGCGGCCATGGACGTTCATCGCCCTCATATTTCGGTGAGACGAATCAATTATGGTTTTTTTTTTCACCAATCGTTTTCAGATGGCGTGGCTCCGTCTGGAAGGTGATCTGGATGCAGTATTTGGTGTGGCTCGGCCTCTACTTTCTCACCTCGATCATTTATCGATTCGCTCTCAATGAGTACCAGCAAAAGTTTTTTTTGTTGTCATTTTTATTGAAAATTCAAAACCAACCACTTCCAGAATTTTCGTGCAAATCGTCGATTACACGAACGCGCGGATGTCGTACGTGCCTCTCGACTGGATGCTCGGATTTTTCATCGCCGGCGTTCTGCGACGCTTCTGGTATTTGTACAACATCATCGGATTCATTGACAAGTTTGTCGGGCGATTGTGTTCAAATTTTCGTTTTTTTCTTTTTTTTGCGATTTGAAGCATCGCTTGCTCGGTGGCGACGTACGTTCGAGGCGATTGCGAGCGCGCCAAACAATATCGACGCAACATCATCAGATACTGCGAGCTGGTGCAGGTCTCTCGGCGACGAACGAACTCCCATCAAACAAAAAATTATGAAAATTGAACAAAAAATTGCAAAATTCGCGTTTTTGCGCGCCGAATCGCTCAATTTTGGGCGAAAATCAACAAATTTCGATTTTTTTTTTGAAAAAATCGCAAAAAACTTGCTAATTTGCCAAAAAATGTCAATTTTCGTCAAATTTCACCAAAAAACACCAACAACTTCAAAAATTTGCCTTTTTCACAAAAAAACTCTAAATTTGCCAAAAAATTCAAAAAATATATGAAAATCGCTCAAATTTTGTCGGAAATTTTCAAATAATTCGAAATTTCTCAAAATTTTTGTCAAAAATTTTCAAATATTTTGAAAATCTCATAATTTCTGCAAAAAAATTGAAAATCACTCAGATTTTGTCGGAAAATTTCAAATTTTAGACAAAATCTCAAAATGTTCCGAATTTTGGCAAAAAAAATTTAAAAAATTTTAAAATCGCTCTAATTTTGTCAAAAATTTTCAAAAAATTTGAAAATCTTAAAAACTACCAAAAAATTCAAAAAAATTTGAAAATCGCTCAAATTTTGTCGGAAATTTGCAAAAAAATTTGAAAATCTTAAAAACTACCAAAAAAATTCAAAAAAAAATCGAAAAAATCGCTCAAATTTTGTCAAAAATTTTCAAAAAATTTGAAAATCTTAAAAACTTTACCAAAAAAATTCAAAATATATTGAAAATCGCTCGATTTTTTTCAGCAATTTTCAAAATTTTGTAAAAAAAAAAAACTGGAAAATCTCAAAAATTTTGTCGGAAATTTTCAAAAAATTTGAAAAAATCTCTCCAATTTTTGACAGAAATTCAAAAATTTTTGGATTTTTGAAAATTTTCAATTTTTTCGCCAGCAAGTCTCACTTTAAAAACGACGATTTTTGGTGGGAATTTTTTTGAAAATCAAAAAACAAAAACGAAAAACTACTAGTCTAGGTGTTGATCTACCGCGATTTGTCGATGAAAACCCGCAAGCGTTTCCCAACACTCGACACGGTGGCGGCCGCCGGCTTCATGATGCCGCACGAGAAGGCCAACTTCGACGAGATTCAATACAACTACAACAAATACTTTTTGGCGTTCAACTGGGCGTGGTCGTTGATCTACAACGCGCGAAAGGAGGGCTTCATCGAGTCCGATTACTATGTGACCGTCGTTTCAGAGGTAGCAACGACACCATCACGCTTCTCAACCTCCCTTCAACAAATTGCAGGACGTCAAACAATTCCGAACGGGCCTCGCCTGGGTGTGCAACTACGACTGGGTGCCGCTGCCGATGATCTACCCGACGATCGTGTGCCTCGCCGTCCACACCTACTTCCTCGTGTGCGTCGTCTCGCGTCAGTACGTCGTCGGCTCGCGAATCGATCCCGACATGGTTTCTTCTTTTTTCGTCGAATCGCATTAGCGCATCGCGTTTCCAGATCGACTTGGTGTTTCCGTTGATGACGAGCCTCCAATTCGTCTTCTACATGGGTTGGCTTAAAGTCGGCGAGGGCCTCCTCAATCCGTGGGGCGAGGACGACGACGACTTCGAGACCAACATGCTCATCGATCGAAATTTGGCGGTCAGTCGAGGCAAAATGATTTCAATTTGTGTGTGTGTTTCAAGATGGGCCTCAAAATCGTCGACGAGGGTCCCTACAAAACGCCGCGACTTGAGAAGGACGCGTTCTGGGACGACGAATGGGTCCCGTTGTATTCGGAAGCGAGCGCGCACGAGAAGCGCTATCAAACGCGCGAGGGCTCGCTGGCGCATATCAAGTGAGCGAACAGAAACAAAATCGAAACCCACTTCTCATCGCGTCGTTGCAGACTCTCGCGCGCGGTCTCGCAGGTCCGAATGGTGCCGAGAGACGGTCGTCGGGCGAGCAGCTTCAAGGAGAAAATCGTCGACGTCAAACCGTGAGCGATTCACTGCAAATCGAAAATGTGTTTGTTGGTTGATTGGAGAGGAATTCTTCTTTTTTTTTAAGAATTTTCAAAATTCGCTCCAAAAAAATCCAGAAATTATCGAAAAAAGCGAAACTTTTTTTTGGAAGCAACAAAAAATTCAAATTTGGCGCGAAAAATGAAATAAGACTTGTCGATGATTCGAAAATTCCAGCAATCAACAAAATATTCAAATTTCGCGCCAAAAATAATTGCAAAAAATTATAATAATCAACATTTTGAGCCCAAAAAACAAAAAAAAGTCTACGAAAAAGTTATAATCGAAAAAAAAATTAAAAATACGCGCCAAAATGAATAAGAAATTCAAATTTCGCCCGCAAAAATCCGAAAATTGCAAAATTTAAGCGACGAAGTCGAAGAGGATCGTCCAAAAATCCTTCGCCCCGCCTCGATTCTCAATCTCGCCCGACATTCGTCGACACACAGCATCTCGAGCCGAACTCATCAGACGCCGACAAGTCCCATCTTCGCGATGGAGACGCTCTCAACCCAAACGAGCCCCCCATCAAGTGTGCCGCGAGCGATCGCCGAAAGCACACTGGAAGACGAGTCCGATGAGCATCAAAAGAACAAATAATACAATTTTTATTATATTATTATTGCCTTATAATTAAAACTCTAGCTGTACAATGCACACTATCACTAATTATTACATTTATTACGAAAAAAAAGAAAACGAATTGGGAAACATTACGGAAACAAAACAGAAAAAGAAGATGGTAGAAGTGAGATTCGAAAAGAAAAAAAAACGCCAAAAACTTCTCGGATTTACTTCTTGGCGGCGGCGGCCAACTTGATAAGTCCCTCAGTCGAGTGCGACTTCGGACGCTCCAATGGCAATCCCATTCCGCGAGCCCAGATGAGCTGCGAGAGGCATCCGAGAGCACGCGAGACACCGAACAACACCGTGTAGAACGACATCTCCGTCATTCCAAAGTATTGCAAAAGAACACCCGAGTGGGCATCAACATTCGGCCATGGGTTCTTCGCCTGAAACACAAAAACCACGCATACACATCGTCAATTCAAAGGTTCCTTCTCCACCCACCTTTCCTTGCTCCAAGAGAACTCCTGGCGTGATCTTGTACAACGTCGAGACGAGCTTGAACAAATCGTCCTTCGGCAAATGCTTGAGGGCGAACTCGCGTTGGCACTCGTATCTCGGATCCGTCTTTCTCAACACAGCGTGTCCGTATCCCGGAACGACTTGACCGCTCTTCAAGTGCTTCCAAACCCAATCGCGGAGTTGCTCCTCGGTGTAGTTGAAGCCAATCTCGCCGACAATCTTGTTCAAGAACACCAACACCTCCTGATTGGCCAATCCGTGAAGCGGACCAGCCAATCCGGCCATGGCGGCCGAGAACGACAAGTACGGATCCGAGAGCGCCGATCCGACCAAATGCGACGTGTGCGCCGACACGTTTCCACCCTCGTGATCCGAATGGATCACAAGGTACAATCGCATGAGCTCAGCGAACAACGGATCATCATAGCCAAGCATCGAGCAGAAGTTCGCCGACCAATCCTTCTTCGGATCAATGACACCAACAGCGGAACCATCACGATACAAGTTGCGGTAGATCATCGCGGCGACCGTTGGGAGTTTCGCGAGCAAATCCATCGAATCCTCATAGGCGTACTCCCAATAAGCGGCTTTCGGCACACCGCGCGCATACGCCGCCGCAAATTTGCTCTCGTTGTTCAACGCGGCGATGGCGGCGACGAATTGCGCCATCGGGTGAAGGTTGTCCGGGAAGTTGTCCAGCATGCGAACGACATGCGCCGGCAAATCGGCGCGCGTGTTCCACTCTTTCGTGATCGCGTTCGTCTGCGACTCGCTTGGAATATCGCCGGTGCACAACAGCCACCAAATCGCCTCCGGAATCGGCTCCTCGCCACCTTTGGCCTTCGGCAAAAGCTTCTGGCATTCGGGAATCGAGTAGCCACGGAATCGGATTCCCTCTTCGGGATCAAGAACCGATGTCTCAGTGACCATTCCCTTCATCGAACGCATACCTCCATAGATCTGAAAAAACAAATTCATAATGAGTCTAGAATCTCAATGAAAATTATCCCACCATGTCAATGGTGACATTTTGGACGACGGTGTTGGCGTGCTGAGAGCGGAACTCCTTGACCTTGGCGTTATGAGCCGGAATCTTCTTCGAAAGCACTTCCTTCAAGTTGGTCGATCCATCGGCAGAAGTCGACAATGGAGCCGATTGGCACACGATTCCCTACAAAATCAATTATTCGGACACAGGAGGTATGATAAGAAAAAACGGGTCGGGCGGTTCACGCTTCGAACGTTCTCTGAACCGCCGGACGCACGAGATCAATTTGCAGCTTAAACGGAAAAAAGCATCCCATCCAAAACAACAAATCCATCATTTCTCTCTCTCTCTCTCTGTTGCAATACGGACCAACAATCAGCAAAACAGCTGCCGCTTGTTTGTCTTTTCAGAATCCATCCTACCTTAGCGACGAGGCGGCGAAGCACGGCAGCGGACACTACTGACATGGCGGATGCAATCACGCAACAACGATTGAACACCCTGAAACGAGAAGAAATTTCTTTAAGAAGTGAATTTACACAAAAAAATTGCAAAGACGAACGGTACAGAAAGTGAAAAATCGTGAATACCGCATTCGCCCCCAAAAAATCACAAATCAATCTGGGTTAAACCATGTGGAATTCGCGTGAGATCGTAAAAATTGGAGAAAAATTGCAGTATTTCACCTCAAAAAAAAAACTAATGAAGAAGAACGGGGGGTCGAATTGACCGGACGGCACGGTCGCCGTTGTTGGGTTGGCGGTGGCCAAACGGGCGGCGCACACACGCACTTCTCTCGCCCCGGCCATCGTCGTCTCTCATCAATCGAGTGTGTCTGCAGAGGCGAGCGAGCGAGCGCGCGCGCGTCACTACAAAACGACGAAGAATGAACGCCGCGTGGTTTGCGACGCAGAGTATTACCGTGGCGAGAGTCGAGAGAGCGCCGACGACGATGTTGAAGGTTATGCGAAAGGTAGGAGGTGGAGTTTCGATCTAAACCAAAGCAAAAGCTTCCCATCATGGACGGTCAATGAAACTAATGAGACCAAAAACTGAGAGCACGATGCTGCTGATAGGCGAATTGGTGTGATCGGTGGATTTTCTGCATTTTTCGGCGGATGATGCGCCTTTTTAAAATTTGAAGTAAAAATTCTCCGCAAAACACCCAAATTTAGAATTTTAAAGCGTCGGCCACGAGATTTTTTTTGGGAAATGTGCTTCAATTCGAAAATGCCATTATCTGAAGCCATATCGAAATTTCAAGTTCTCATACCGTTTCGAAAATTTTCGCAAATCGTTGCCTCCATTTTTGGGGCATTTGTCTTCGCATCGCGAAAAAGTGATAGATCGCCTCGAAATCGACACCAACTTTTCCGGTGTTTGCAGAGAAACCGATCACGTGGCGCGAATCTCGACTCCAACGTGGTCGGCGGACGCACTCTCCACATGACAACGTGGAAGGTGTCATTAATGACTACCGGAAAGTAGTCTAAAGGCCATCACAAATCATTCCTCGCCATCACAATTCAATATCTGAAGCACATTATTGAAAGTTTAAAATTGATAAACTATTATTAAATTGTACCGCCAAAGCCACACGCCACCAAAGCCACCTACGCACACAGTGTAACCTTTATATTGCATTCGTGTGCCCCTATAAAAGGGAGCCTCAACGCCCATTTTTTCACTTCTTTCCCTTCGTTGGTTGTTGTTCAACTTATATTCAATTTATGTCCAATTCATGTTTAACTTATTTTTAATTTATTTCTTTTACAATAAAGTTTAATTACCCAAGTTTGAGGTTGTCCAACTCCTACTGGTTAATAAATTTGGTGCATCGACGACTTACGAATTCAAGCCGCCGAAAGATCAAGCCAACAAGTTCAAGTCAACAACCAAAAGCCATCCTGAAAGAAAACGACTCAACCACAACTACGGCCATCCAGCTTCATCTTCGAATTACAACAAATCGAAGGTCCGTTTTCTCAACATTGCAAGACCCGCGTGGCACAACTCATACTTCAACGCTTTGCACGATACTAACAACACAAAGAACATCGATTTGATCGAAATCGAGTCCTAAACCATCAAGCCATCCATCCATTGTTAGTCCTTCCAAAAAACTACACAGTCATTCATTAAAAATGAGTGAACTTCGCTATTACCTGACGGCAGCCACACGCTCAATGAACTCCCTGGCACAACAACTTATCGACGCAGAAAAAATGCGATCAGTCCTGAAGAAACAAGAAGAAAGTCATCAACCTATCACGGAAATAGAAGCCAGAAAAGTCTCAAATCGATTGAGACACATCATCCAAAATAGGAGCGACCTCGAAGAGCGAACTAAAGAGCTGATGACAGCAACCCGCCAAGTAGCTTGTGATGAACAAGGCCAGAAAACCCTCGACGAATTCATCGATAAAGCCACTGACGTAATCCAAAGAGCAAAGGACCAGGAGTTCCAACTGGAAGACGACGAAAAGACAATCGAGACAATAATCAGATTGGAACAACCCAGCATAGAGCCATCGGAATCGAACGTTACACAACGACGAGAAGAAAGCAAACTGCCACCTATTCCAATCCCGAAATTTGCTGGAAATCTGTCAGAATGGACGAATTTCTACACAATATTTGAAGAGACTATCGACAAAAGAAACATATCCGACCTGGAAAAGCTCAACTATCTACAACAAAGCTTACAAGGACAAGCGAAGAAAGTCATTCAGAAATTTGAATTCCGAGAGGAAAACTACAAAATGGCAATGAGCGCACTAAGAAAGAGGTACGACAACAAAGACGCCGCCATTCGCCAACTCAGCGAACTGCTGACGAACGAAAAAGCAGAAGGAACAAAGCTGAATCATCAACGCGACCTTTTCGACAAAGTATTCGCGATTACGCAGCAACTACGCAAACATGGTGAAGATTTGAATTCGCGAATAATCAAAGAAATGATTATAAGAAAGTTTTCGGGAACCATCCAACGAAAAGTTTTCGAGGATCGTGCCGAGAATTACGACAACGACGACAGATCATGGGACCTGGACGCAATTATGGACGAGATTGAGAAAACAATCAACAAAGAAGAACAACTTCAATCATGGATGCCAGAAAGCGCCAACGAAGCTGAAAAAAGTCATAGTTATCGACATCAGGAAAGGCCAGAACTATATCACCAAGGGAAGCCAAGACAACCAAAATATCGACAGGAATTGGGAAATCAACGACATGATTTCCATCGATACGAACCCAAAAATTCATATCGTAATGAAACTGATACCAAATCAGACAGAATAGTGGATAATCGACATCGAAGCTCGTTTTCGTGCGTCTTTTGCGAAGGAAATCATCTGAACAAAGAATGCACAATATCCATTACGCAGAAACGGGACGCACTCAGAAGAAAAAACCGTTGCTGGAAATGCTACAAAAATCACAAATCGAACGAATGCCCGACTTCAATCAAATGCTCGAAATGCAATGGAGATCACATTCAATATTTGTGTCTGAAGACTACGGAAGTCGACAATCAGAACTCTGGAAACCAAGGAAACCAGAACAACAATAGACGATCGGTACATTCGTCTAATCGCAGTCCGAATATAACGCATGCCACCATTCAAAGCAAGAAGGAATTGCCATGCGAATCAGAAAACTCGTCCGAGATCAAATTTATCCCAAGGCCACAATCGGGAATTCTACCAACCATCAAGGCCATGGCATTCAATCCAAAGACTGACCAATGGGAAAAAATAACAGTGATGTTCGATTCAGGAGCAGAAAACACATTCTGCACGGAAAAGCTTGCTGACAGCTGGAACCTGACGAAACTCGGAACCTCGAAAATCGTTCTTCAAACGTTTGGAGAACAAAAACTGACACAACATACGAGTGAAATTGTGGAATTGAAAATGCTCATTCGAAATGGAACCGAAACCATTAAGGCAATGCTCACAAAACAACTCGTCGGAACAATACGGAAAGCGGATATAAGTCAAGAAGACAAGCTGTTCATGGCCACGTTAAAAACGAAATTCAACGAGGATGAACACAATCTAGCCGCTGTAGAACCAGACATGATCATTGGTATGGACCATTTGACAACATTCTGGAACGGATCAATGATTAAACTTCCATCCGGATTGCATCTCATTCAAACGGAATTTGGGATGACCGTGATAGGCAAGACGATCAAGCAATCAATCGAAGACGAAACCGGAATTAGTCGGAGCAACATTATAATTTCCGGAGACGACACCATCGAATGGAATGAAGTGACGAAGACTGACAACGAATCAGCAGAATTCACAGGTTCCACAAAAGAAGAAAAAGCGAAAGAAGTTGAAGAAGTATGGAAAACGTTCAATTCCACCATCGAAAAGAGAGAAGATGGATACTTCGTGCGTCTACCGTTCAAAAAAGATGCAGATCAACTTCCCGGAAATTACGCTATCGCGCACAAGCGACTGGTCAGTGTATTGAAACAGAACACACCAGCCATACTTCAACAAATCGATCAAGTGTTCAAAGATCAATTGGAGAAGCAGATCATCGAAAAGGTCAATGATCAGGGAAATGGACCCATCTCGAAAATCGTCCATTACAACCCACACCAACCTGTCATCACGCCGCATAAAACAACGACTAAATGCAGAATCGTGATTGATGGAAGCTCACATTTTCGAAACAACCTGAGCCTCAACGACGTACTTTACCAAGGAGACGTCATCCTGCCTGATTTAAAGAAACTTCTCATCCGATTCCGAACCGGGAAAACAGCAATCGTTTCCGACGTGGAAAAAGCCTTTCTTGCGGTTCACCTTCATGAAGATGATCGAGATGCAACCAGAGTTTTATGGGTTCACGATACATCAAAACCAGCATCTGGAGATAATCTCATGATCCTGAGATTTCGACGCGTACTTTTGGACTAAATTGTTCACCATTCCTACTCGGAGCTACAATCAAATACCACATAGAACACTCACAGCAAGCGATCGCAAAGGAGATCAGCAATCAGCTATACGTTGACAATCTTCTGGTGACAACCGATGAAGAATCCCCGGAAGAACTAGAGAAGAAATATCGCGATATCAAGAATCTGTTCAACGAAATGAGCATGAACATCAGAGCGTTTAGAAGCAATGATAACAAACTAAACGAAATATTTGATGAAAAAGACCGATCAATTGAAGAAGACATGAAAATACTAGGAATTCAATGGAAGTCAACTACAGACCAACTTCAAGTCAAGTGCGACGTCAAGCCACCTGAAAAATGGTCAAAACGATCAATTTCCGGTCTCATTGGAAGCATTTACGATCCACTGGGACTGATGGCACCACTTGTCTTGCCACTAAAAATCGAACAGCAGAAAAATTGGATAGAGCACATCGATTGGGATGACAAACTAGACGACAATCAAGAAACCAAATGGAATAATCTAATGGAATCGACAATT